TAACTTACATCTTCCGCGATGTTTTTGTATACAACTTTTAATTCTTCCAAAATGTAAGAAATACTAGTTTTCTATAAAGAAGTCGGAATAGAATACGATATATCAAATCAATTCACGAATCATCTAGGACACGAGGGAGACGGACGATACGGAGGTCGCGCGCGCAAAAGAGATGAAGCTATTCCAATGTTTGTCAACATTGCGCGCGATTTTAAATTTAGAATTCGCTTCCGCGTTTTTAATGAAGTGTTGCTACGTTCGCGGAATAATAATGTCGAAAGGATTTCGTATTTTTTGGTCTCATTAATCTTTGTCTCTGTTTCAGTTCAATTTACAACTATACTAATATATAAAGCTGAAGAGTTTGTTTGAACGCGCTAATCTCAGGAACTACTGGTTCACATTTTAACTTTTTGTGTTGGGTAGAGCATTTATCGAGAAAGGCTATAACACATCGCGATGCGACTAATAGGAGCTAAGAAACAACGGGTAATGTGAAAAAAAATATTCATCATTATGGGCCTACGAGGCATACACTGCAATAACGGTTCAAGATACGAAAGAATTAATCCTCTTTAAATTATCTAAAAAAAAGTCCGCGACGCTATTTAACGGGATTTGCAATAACGAATTTGGACGCCCAAAATAACGATTCTCAGGGACGATGTCGCTGTCACAGCTAGTGTTATAATAAAACGAACGCAAATAGCTGTACTGTACCTATACGTACTTTTAGTTGCGAGTCGCGCAAGTAAAAGTCGTCCCTAGTCTCCAAGGAATACTATATACCTCTATATAAATGCATCCCTCGGTAATAACTAATAACTGTGATATTATAATTTAGAATTATGCATTAGTATTCTCTAATCAGATGAAGCTCATATTATCAAATATGAATTTAGCATTATACTTAGTATTATAATATGTAAATTAGCATAATGGTGTTTATTTTTATGCTAATTTATATTTGATATATACGACTATAATAACACGAAATGTATCAAAAAATTGTCATCGTAGTACAAGATGCAATTTTCATATTTTATCACTATTCCACGTGTGGAAAAGCGATGTTTGATAAACGATAAAAACTGCAAGGTTTAGCTGATAACACACGATAAGATTTGTTATTAGGTCGGTCACTACAAATAGGTCAAGAGAGTGCCGGGATTATGTAATGTTCAAATGATAAAGACGTATGGCATTTTATTTTCATAGTAAATTAGAGATGCTTGCAATTTCTTTATATAGTAAAAACTGATCATGTTTTACTTACAGCGAAGTGTAAGTGACGGGCATTTGTGCCCTGCCCGATCGAAAAACACCACCAAATAAATCTTCACACTTTACATAATGCAAGACTGTCAGTGTTACAGTTAACATCTGAGGCATAAAATCTAATTAAACTAATATTTTTGCTTGTCTGTGACAGACAGTAAACATATTTAAAGTGAAGCTTTGTCGATAGTAAGTATACAGTCGAGATTTTCCTACATGTTATGTATTCACTATTAATTATCCTAAACTTTATCTTTAAGAAATGATTATCAATTAATTTCTTTTCTGTGTGCACCAATTAAGTGGTTAAGACAGAATGCGTTCATTAAGATAATGATTAATGACCCGTTAACGACCCTTAGTGCGACTATCGGTCCGTTTCTTGTCGAGGCTGATGGCTGATAAATGACATGAAACCTCTTATTCAGTACTCTCTGCAGATATACGAATGTGTACGTGAGTAGTGCGCATTTAAATAAAACACTTAGAACGGTTTAAAATACGAATTGTATTACTTGACAATCCAATGGTCCAATGTTTCAGATGCTTTGCAGTATTCTTCTCGGCTTCTTATACATCCACGAAATACCTTATAAGAGACTAAAGAACCTCATAAACATGTATATCCACTATAAAGAGTAGGTAAAGTCAAACGCACAAGCTAGTTTCAAATGTGATACATTTTATTTAATTACGATAAATCACTAAAATATGACTAACAAAGATCAAGTTCAGAGTTTACGTAAACAGTAAGAAAAGCTGACATGAGTTGAAATAATGATACTTCGCTGATAACTGTTTGCATTTCACTATTTATAAGAAGATCCCTCCTTTTAAAGGGGGTTAAATATTATTAATGTGACAGACCCATAGATTTGTAGCTCCGAAGTGAAACCAAATAGTTAAAATCGCTGAAATTTTACTATCCCTGTGGTTATATGTATAGTATGGTATATATATTTACAAATTTACTAATATCTTTAATCTAAAATAAGATGGCTGCAAATATATTCTGTTTTAAACTGTTTCAATTTATTTGTGTCCTATTCGTGTAAACTACAGACAACTCAGTATCGTCTGTTCAGGCGAATAGTACACATTTAAATAAAACACTTTGCGAAATATATTAAGTAACTTATTAAAAATTCATTTTAACTACGAACCGACGTTTCGGATGCTTTGCAGTAGTCGTGGTCACGGGGGGAACTGAAGATGGAGGGTATCCCTAACGCCAATAGCGTAAGATAAACCTGCTATGTTAGTTTTAATCCATTGAAAGTTTTTTATTTCAATACAGGCAACACGCTTTCTCAATATCGGCAGCGGTAACACAAACCTGAGTTTTACCTATACATATATATACGTTTTTTTTTGCAAATGGTCAAAAGGCTTCAGTTTGTCCTCCATATCAATTTGTATTAGCTACCAGTGGAAAGTAAGCCATTAGCGAAAGTACTCGACTCGATCATTTGAAACGTGTTGAAAGATTTTCCCCACTGACCTCCAAATGAGTATTTTGATTGAAGAACTATTTTTAGAAAGATCTCGACTTGCAACAGACAGTTATAATATTTGATAACGGAGTCTTATCTCGGAGCACTCAACGTGCGCGATTGTTTACACTGTTTTGTAACGTAAAGATAATCATTACTACAAAGTATTGGAAAATTAACCATGTTTAATATTTAGCTTAGAGTTTAAAAATCTCGTTTAATGTCAAAATCTCAGTCATTAGTGCCTTGACCTTTTCCTAGAAGCGGCCTAAAATTTGTCTTTGGTTTATATTATATGTTTTTCATTTTTATAGGAAATTTATTTAAGTATGGGTACTGTGAGTTAGATGTTTGATAACTTGCATAATATAAATTAAAGTCTTTTTGATTGTAAAATAGGATTGTAGGACATGGTACCTCATTTGGTTAGAGTACACGGACACGCTGTTGAACACGAAACTTGGGATTGATTAGTGGTACCAAAAGTAACCTACTACTAGCCCGTAATAAAGAGCTAATATAAAATAGCCTGATTTTTCATATTTATTGATTTTGGTATAAGTAAATATTACATATAATAATTGAAATCGATATAAACCGAATTTTCGGTTGTCAGGGAAATTTCAGGGCAAGTCGTGCTGTAATAATATTAATTAACATTGTTGGATCGACCTGAAGGTTAGATAAATTAACATACTGTTCAAAGTTCGCATTTAAATTCATGTAATAAGCCGTTTTTATTTGAGTCTAGATTCAGTTTTTGTGAGGAATAACTTCCTGTTTCAATAATGCATGATTTTACCACAGACATATAAAATCCTAACAAAATGTGTTGTCGACCTGTTTTGATTTTGGATACTCGGTAATTAACAAATGAAACGCGATCAACTTTCACGGGCGTTTCATTTGTGTGTCGCTTCGTAACAAGGGCGGAATTTTCGATATTTTTATCACCCCTAACCATATTCTAAGACGAAGTCCAACATTACATTAACAGCCATACTGCTGAGTCCGTCGTGACCGATCGACGGGACCGTCCGGAACCCGTCAATTGTTTTTTGTAATATAGAGTGAAGAGTGCTGATTAAAACAAGTTAGTATTGAACAGTTCCGTTTTCACAACACGAAGTCTCAAATGAAGTTAACATAAAAATCCGATATATCTACCTGGACATTGTTGGTATTTCGTAAGTGACCTACTTATTGAGGTCAAATTTAATTCGTTCCACTCGACGCTTTACATTCTAATTAATCGTTATCACTTTGCTGCACCTAAGTTTTCGTGACGTCACAACATTCGATTTTCAAAATCTTGAGATAGCAAGAGGGTAGCAGGATTCAAAGTATTTTCCTACCCTCTTGCTATCGTCCAACAATCTATTACCATCAGAAGATATGTCTACCGCTGTCGCAAGAGACATATTTCTGTGTCCGATGGAGCACAAAGGCGGCACACAAAGCCTTTGTTATGTGGAACGGGTCAATGCCGGGGTGTGGCTGCACCGCCGTCCTTGACACACATGCACCCTTCCCGATCTCCAGCGCTCGAAAAACAGAGTCGTCTAGCAGCAGACAATATGTAAAGCTACATCAGCGCTTACGTTGAAAGGCCTTTGTATGAAGTAGAAAAGCGGCAAAAGTTTAAAATCTAGGTTTTCGCTGATCACTTTTACTATTTTGAACGTCCAAGATGACTTTTAGAACTTATAGGTTTTTATCTCAAAATGTTCAATTTTATTAATTACCGAAAAAAATTATAGCTAAACTTAATTAATTAATTTAGTCGAGTTACTTGTAATTGAGTTAGTTGTATTTTCAATGTTAACGTTTAGAAGAATATTGAAAGTAAAACAACAAAAAAGGTCCCACCCATAGCATTTGTCTATGACAATGTTTAAACAGAGCTTGAAGTGGGAGAGTGGATTTTCCAGCGATGTCGTTTAGGAGGGCTGCTGGATGTAGGTCGCTGCAGCGGTCTATTTTGAAAGTGGGTCGCTAGCAACAGGCCTCTCGGAACTGGGACGTATTTTAATCTGTGCTAAATGAAGGTTTTTATTTGAGCGCTCCGGTTTTAGTACTCTCAATCGGTAGGTGGTTCAATGAAGGAATTCTGCCAGTCAGAAATTATCGAAGCTCATAGGAAATCAATTAAAATTTATGAATGTTCATCATTGCCATTTTGTTTATGTTGACTATTTCTTCTTATAGCGTTGGCAATGAATTTTCCAGATGCACAGTAACGAGTCCGGTGCGGCCAGCGGGACAGCCCTGCTGCAGCAGCTGGGCCGGCTGATAGTACGCTCACGCAGCGGCAGTCCCGCTGCCACTCTGCACAGGCGGCATAAACTCACCCCATCCACTAGCAAACAGGTGAATTCAAAAAAATATATAAAAACTATCAAAAATGTCACATTAGGAGACAATAGGATCAAGGACAATACATCTATCTATTTATATACAAAATACGAAACATCCCTTATATATACCTCAGAATCAAGGTCACTTTTATGATTATTTAGCTCGCTGTTTGTAAGCTATTCAACATCGTGCATGAGTGGGAGTTCTACCTTCCATTGTCGTTGACTTTGCTTACATCCAATCCTTATGTACATGTCAAACTAAAGAAATTTTAATCTGTGCATTTACATAAAATAATTTTTAGGACTTATATTAATTTTAGCATGAATTTAAGGTAATTCATTGGTTTAAAATGTAATCCAGTGTCTTTTAATAATTTACACTAAAATCACTATTTTAGTGTAAATCAATGTAAACACACTACAAAAGGTACACTATAGTTAGATTTAAGTTCTACCCTCAAGAATGTGTTTTGTATGAACCTCCTTTATCGCACTTTCAACAAATTCTAATCGGAACTCGTGTTTCATCCACAGATAGTAACACAACCAAAACCAGAGACGGATGAGCCTTCACCTGGAATCGAAGCGCAACTCAACAACCACGTGCAGGCGCTATGGAACGACCAGATACCGATCTGCATTGATGTACGTTGCCTACCGACGTGAGTGAGACCACAGAACAGGGTTCAGGGTCTAATGATTCTGACTCCTTCCAGGTCATCTTAGCACCAGAATGCCAAGAATGCTACGCGTCTATGTCTCGGGTGGAGGGGACGAGCTACGACAAGCAGCACGCGCAAAGCCGGGGCTTGCTGCTGGAACGCTGGACCATCAGGGCTATTGCCAACAGGTCTGTTTGTAGTCCAATTAATTATTGGTTCCTGTCAGGCGGAAACGGAAGTTACTGATGTCAATTGAACCAATAGTCACTCATACTGATCTGAGTAAATTACGAAAGTTTTTATATTTTTTTGGTATTTGTATTTCTTCATAAACGTGAAATTGTCAAGTATTGTCTGTAGTCGCCAGTAACTTTGAACGATTTCAAATGCGAAATGTATTAGTTACTACTTGTTTACAATTCATTTTAACTACAGCCTAACGCCCAAATACAAAATACCAACCACGAGGAAAAAGAGGGCGCTAGTGTAACACGTGTGTTAATTTAAAACTAGAAATACCATTCCATTCAGTTATTATTACATTTAGCATTTTAAACCGTTATTTTTTTTATCTTGATCAAATAGCCTTCAGAATAGAGATGATGGCAACGTAAAGTAAACATTTGCGTATCGTCGTATTCCAGAAGCCATGAGTTCCCGTCAGCCACATCGTCCCACTGGTTGCTGAACGCTGTTCGGTCGCAACTTCACTTCTCGCAGCTCTGCGCCTGGAGAGCCACGCTCAAGACAGAAGATAAACCAGCAGAACGAAGGTGATTCTTCAGTCCTTATTCGTCTCATAATTCTATAACTAGACATAAATAAATATGTCCAATTATAAAGTTTCCTACCTCATTTCACCAAATTGCGGGGAGGCTCTTATATTATTTAGTATTCATGACACTAAAGTGCTTTATATGCACGTTTTACAGGAGAAAACTCAGCCGCGAGACCTGCAATTTCAAAAAAATCGAAGCAAACTGTGACGAGACGGACTTGGAAGAGCGCAAGCTTAACATCGTTTACTCCATCAAGATCCCCGGAGAGACCTCGCCCGAGTTCTCTCGCACCCCCACCGACCACACCTTCCCCATCGCGGACATCGGAAACGACATCTACCTCAAAGTCTCCCTCAAGAGCCTCCCCAGGCTGGACGAAATCCCCGCCGTCAGGTGCTCCTGCAAGCGCAGGGCCAGCGCCAACGACGACGAGCTGGCCGGGAAGCTCGGCGATCTCAGTCTAGGCCCCCGGAAGTACCCGGCCGACGCCGTCAATTCCAACGGCGGAACGGGCAGGCGTCTCTCCATCATATCGAATCCCGGCTCCACGGAATACCTGTACTCTCCCGGCGATAAGAAACTCCTCGACGACCGAATGCTGACGCCGTGCAGCGAGAGCGGCAAGCACAAGTGCAGCTGCGACGACGAGTCGGACGAGAAGAAGCGGGAGACGAAGAGGCCCGACGAGAGGAGGCTCAAGGAGATAGCGAAATATAAACGCCGTTTGCGCAAAGAGAGCAAACTCAAAAAACTCTGTGATAGCACGTCATCCGATGGCGAACTGAAGAAGGAGACGCACACGTCGATCCCGATACTACAGGCGTCCAGGTTCGACAGGTTCCGAGCGATCGGTTGCTATAGGAACCAGACGTATCTGACGCTGCCCGCGAGCAGGATCGAGGGCAGGTCGCCCTTCGCGGAGACGCCCAACGACCCGCCGCCCGAGTTCAAGCGGACCAACACGATCGGGACGCAGACGGACGACGTGGCGTGCCAGTGCGGGAACGCCGTTCAGATGAAGTGCCCCGGCTGCCTCGACAGGGGCATGGTTCGGTCCGAGGGCAGTTACGACTTGGCCTTGATGGAGAACGGGACGAGACGCAAGTACGAGGATGACGAGCGTTCCCTTAAAAAGCTTAAATGTGATATAAATAGTGATATAAGTAGTGATAAGTGTGACGACGTTATTAAGCGGCCGAAACTGAGGCGCTTCTTTCCGATAGTCGACCGAATTGAGAGGGTCATAAGCGACAGGTTCGCGCAGAACGACGACATAGCCGAATTGAACCTGCGCGACGACGACACCGTGTTCTCGGTCAAACCGGAGCCCAAGAGACAGAAGACGTACTCGATCGGCGAAGACTACGTGTGCCTGGAGAAGTGCGACTACGGTTCGATTGATAAATGTGATATGGAATCTCCGCAAGACGAGGATCCCTTTAAATTCCCTGACGTGGCGATTCCAGGAGCTTTCGAGCCGGTCGATAGAGATGCGAGAGGGGTGACGAATGGAGACGTTTCAGGGGGATCGGGACCGGACGGTCAGGTAGATAGAGATAGGAAGGGACAAGAGAACCAGGTGCCGTCTCCCACGGAGATGGACAGGTTCCGCTGGCGGTTCGACTCTGCCGCGTCCATGGTTTTCCACACGAAGACTGGTCTACCTCTGACTTCGAGTCCGGCGCCATTACGAAGAGGAAACAACTGCTTTGACTTTGACGACTCGATTAATGGCGTTTCTGGAATCAAAAGGTGAGAATGTTTTTGAAGAGTGAGTCTTGATTTTCTTTAATGATAAACTAAACAAACAAAATTAAAAAAAGTAAAGTACTTTTTAATAATTTTATTTTAAAATTTCAGTGCACTGTTCCATCCGATATCCCCTCCCTCTCCAGCGGCCGTCTCCCCTGTGTCGCCTCCGCGCCTGGCGTGTCCTCGAGCTCCCCGCGCATCGCCAAGACCTGACGAATCACCTGTCCACACCCACGAGCCCAGGAAGAAGACAACAATTAGCAAGCTGAGGATCGGCTCGAGTACGGGCCTCTTAGGTGAGTTTTCTATTTATCGAAATTTGATAATATGTCATTACGACGTTAGTCCTCGGCTCACCCCGTGACCACGGCTGCTGTTCGGCATAAGAAATATTGGGTCATAGTTAAGATAACTTGTAAATAAGTTACTATATATACTATATTATATTCAACCGTTAAAATGTTTTATTTAAATGTTTACTACTCGCGGACACTACAGACAATACTTAACATGACATATTTAAACTTCAAGCATTATATGTACTATTATAGAGTAGTTTTCAATGCTTCTTTTAACACCTTTTTAATCCTAATAAAATCAGTTTAGCCATACTACGTTTAGCGTTTTTTAATTTTTTTTCAAAAAGTGATTTTATTGTTTGTGATTTATTCGTATCCTTCATAAGTTTGTATACTTTCCAGGAAGCTTTGAAGAGTCCGCGTTGAAAGGTCGACTAGAGCCAGTGGCCACTGTCCACGGCTTTACAGCGGAATTGGGGGCGTCGGGTGCCTTCTGCCCCCCACATCGACGTCTACCCGTCACTGTGTTCTTCTACGCGCCCGGTGGGACTAACGCGCCCTATATGGTGAGTTTCCCCAGAGGACCGGTCCTTTATTAGACACTGAATGAATATGTAACTCCTTTTATATACATGAATCAAATTTTCAAACATGTTGGACTCGGTAGGAACCGAACTCATAGACCATTTGATTATTAATTTATTTAACCCCTCTGTAGCCAAATGGTTGAAAGTATTGCCTAGCATTGCGTTAAGTGCGAGAGGTCCTGGGTTCGAATCCCAGGGAAACATAAAATTGTTTCGGTCGGCCACGGCACAGAATGATCTGATCAACTACTTGCCCCTTAAAAGAACGGACCAGTGAAACGGACACAAAAATGTGTTCGCCCCACCCCACAAATTAGACCAACGAGCCTGTTTACTTTAAGAACTCTTAAAATATAAGAGAATTTTTTTCTCAACTCCAGGGTCACATAAACCTCGGCCCAGGCGGGTACCGCGTGGCCCGCTCGGGCACCGTGCAGGTGTCGCTGTTCAACCCCCACGGCACCCTGGTGAAGATGTTCGTGGTGCTGTACGACCTCACGGGCATGCCGCCCCTGGCGCGCACCTTCCTCCGTCAGCGGACGCTGTACATGCCGGCCGGGGCGGACCCGCCCAAGACGCACGAGATGCACAAGTGGCTTCGGTATCTGATACATTTAAGGTTGGTATGGTAGTAGTTCTAGTAATGTAATATATAACTTTTTCGTGTCACAGTATCCGTTATCAAACACTTCTGAAACGGCTCAGCCGCTTTTATGAAACTTTATATGCGTATTCAGTTGGTCTGCGAATCGGTTACTAACTATTTTCCAAACTTCCTTCTTGGTAATCAACTGTTCGATCATTGTTCTTGACCCATTCTAGAAATGCCCTGGATCTCTGTTATAGCAAAGCGACGCTTGGCAGGTCAGCTGGTAGTTTAAAACTTCTTACATTGTTGGTGTTTCATAATGTTGCTTAGGGAAAGAGATATTGAAAAGAAAACATTAAAAATTACATCTTTGCCCCAGGTTCATGACGTCGAAGTCCGGCAAGCTGTACCTCCACACCGACATCCGGATCCTCGTCTCCCGCAAGGCTGACGTCGACACGGCCACCGCACATTCCGCCTTATTCCGACCAATCGCGCGCGCCGACGACCCAGCCCCGACCGACGAGGGCCCGCCGCGACCCGACATGAGCCAGATCGGTTACGACAACCGGGACGGCTTTTCTTACGAGCTTAGGAGCTTCACGTACGCTCCGGAGAACCCTCGCTACTCGCCGCGGTAGTCCTCGGCGGGCGGAGGGAGTCTGTGTGCCTGTATATGTACGTAACGTGTTATTGTATGTAAATGGAAAAATATATTTTTGGTTTTATATAAACTCATGTGTTTTACTTTGATCGCACTTGCTGCACGAAAAGATTCTGGTTTCATTCTTCTGTGCCTTTTCCTCACACTCTTTTACCCTATATTTGTCTTTTTCTCGCGTTTAGCTCACTGAGAAGCATCAGCCATCGATGATTCATCAGGGTCAAAAGCGGTTCGGTGTGCGAAATGGTCGACACTGAAGTGATTCATAAAAATGATTAAAGTTTCAATAAACGGGGCTCTCAGGAACATTACTCGACCCTCCATCTGCTTAAATTTGTAAGGTTGTCTTATATATATATATACTAATAGTGAAGGGTATATTACATATATATAGACTTCACCTATAAAGGCTAAAAGGCTTGTGGTCTCAAGGAACGCGATAGAGCTAGCTTAATTTTTTTCTTCCACAATTTTTATTTTCCCAGGCACTATAAAAATAGAGACGCAGATATAAGGAACGCCGTTGTCAGCGTAATTCTGTTCAATATAAACAAACAGTTATAGTTGAATATATAGGTGGGTTGGAGTTACAAAATCAAATGTATTCAAATCGAAAAATAAACAATTGGAGATATTTAAAACGCATTATATCTTGTTATATTTAATTTATTTCACACCAAAGTATAAATACATTCAGACACACAAACAAACAAAACATAATTTATTACCTTACCTTAATAGCTACAAGGAAATGCCTTTCAGAACACTTGCCAAAAAAAAATAGTACCTACTATCTACCTACTAGTAACCTAATATCTATGAGTTCATAAATACTATTTACAAAAACGATTATAAAATATTTACAAAACTTTGCCATTAACCCTCATAGCATTTTGTTAGAATCGCTGACGAATACAAAAAGATTGCTCAAATGCATTAATAATTTTTTTTTTTTTTTTAAACTTGTTTGAAGGCCGTAGTTAAAAAATAATTCCCAAACAAGTTTAACTACTTAAAATATATCGCGTTTTAAACAGTTAAAGTGTTTTATTTAAATGTGTACTACTAAGCTACAGACAAAATTTTATCTTTTCTAAGTTAGCTATTTAACACGAAAATAATCCAAAAACAGACTAACGCCGTACCGCGTTACGTAACAAAGTGATTATCAAGAACCTTTGCAATAAATTCTAGTCTCTGCTTACAATGCCAAAGTAAAGAAAATTACGATTTATTAATATCTTGTTGCATTCGGTGAATCATAGATGGCGGTATTATCAATGTTCAAATTATTGCCATGGCCGTGACTCACTAACAAACGTAGTCCCTACATCTTTTGAGTTACATTTCTGTATTCGACTTATAAAATTGTACTTTGAATATAACGACTTGATACGTCTTAACTATTGTAAAAGTTTATGGAGTACATTTTTATATTCTAAGACAAAGTTAGGAGTGGCTTCGTCGGGTACATCTGTGTCTTTTCTTGCGCTCTGTAGGGAGAGATATCTTCTAATTCTTCTGTTTCCTAAAAATGAAAATATTTTTTTTAAGGCATTGAGGATAGAGAAGCTAGGTTTTATTTTAGACAATGTAAAGTATCAGCCCGTAAATCGTAATTGAGATGTGTTGCTGGTCTATTTTTGCTCAAGTGTTTTGAAAACGATAGACTAAAATCGAGACGAGATTTCACATTTCTTACATGAATAGTCCAGAATAGTAATCAAGTAACAATTGTAGCAGCCTGATGTTTAATTATTGTGCACCTGTATGTTGGTACGTGATATATTATGTAGTTTTATATTATCATAAAATATCTAACCATTTTAGTACATAAATTTACATAGATTTTAAAATACTAAACATACTGTTATTTGACCTTTATGAACAAAATTATATAACTGCCCAGACGTGTTGTTAGCCTCGATTCCATAATCTTAGTTACCTTGGTTCAGTTTGAAAGATTTTGCTAAATAAAATAGCCAATCTATTCAACAGGATAATTTCAATTCATGAAGTGTCCAAAACGGCTAATCTTCATAGTTTCCAAGGCCAAAAATGGACTATAAATATATTTATTCAAAAGAAAGTCAAAAGTTATTGTTGATTGTATTTCATATTATTCGTTTCAAATAAGCCTTAGAAATATCCTATTAGGTAATTCTTGATTTCATTCAAGATCGCCAGCGTCAGTATGGACGTCATTGTATTTGGACAGAAATAAATTTAAGATAAAAAGTGAATAAAACAACTCACTTCGGGTAATCCGCTTCTGCCCCACGGCCCCCACCCTGGCTCTTCTTCGTGCTCATAATGGTGTTGGTGTTGAGCGTGTTCGTAGTAAATCACCTGCAAACAGATGGACAGACTAAGTCCAATGTTAAAGTTAACGTAGCTAAAAAGTTTTTAGTAGGAAGAAAACAGGGAGGTTGAAAAATTTAATATTTTTTATATGTTACTGCACATTATGGCACAAATAAATTAAAAAAAAAAAAAAATTTTTTTTCAATACATTGCGCGAGAGTTGCTTGAATCAATAAGTTAAAAAAATCCGACGATGAGGTATGGGGCTCGGTTAAATAGTAGTTAAAGTTTTATACGTATAGTGTATAGAGCATTATAGCTTGTCTATATGTCTACCACAAGCTATAAAGCTCTAAATACTATATTTTTCGAGTTATACCCACAGCCACAGAAAACATCTATTCATGTTTTCTGTGGCTTTTACTTATATGAAAATATAGAAAATCGGCGAGCTCACTTCCAGGTCACTACAAGGTCATAGAGGTAAGGCCGATTCATGGATGAAGTATTTAATTAAGTAGATTTATATTATGTCCAACTGATTTAGCTATGGTTTGAGACGTTAAAGCCAGTACGTATGTATACATATTTTAAAATGTCAAAAGGATAAATATACATAAAAGAACAACATATTATTACTTCACTTGGCTTAGCCTAAATACAAACGTCTCGCTGAATGACTAATGAAATTTTACACGTCATTAGACAGCTCGTCAATTTTCTTCTTCTGTTTAAAATAAATCGGAAAGCAACGCTATTATAAAAGTCACTTTCAAGCAATAACTCAAAGCATTCAAAGTGATAAAGGCCCTTAATATTGTACGCGCTAATTCCAAAACAAGATATTGTGGGACGAGGGGAGAAAGCTTGCGGTAAAACCAGCTTGATTAATACCTGCCTCGAACGACGGAAGGGAAACTTAAAAAATTATACTAAGAAATCTCATTCTAAGACGCATACTAACGTCTATAAGGCTTCGCTATAGTCGGTGTGTCTGTCTGGTGCACTTAATTAAAGATTAAGAGGTCTTGGGTTCCAATCCCGGATCGGACGAAAAGTAGGTTTCTCTGAGAAAAAATATACCATACCTCAGTCGATCTCGTTCATCGACACTAATTCAGGGCTTTGAAATAAAAATTAAGTATGTATTGTTTGTAGTTTTGTTCATTTAAATAAAACACGCGAATTATGTTAGCTTATTTTTAACTACGGCCCGATGTTTTGGATGCTATGTAGAAGCCGCGGTCACGGGGAACTGAAGTTTGAGGGCGTCCCTTATGTCAATGTCAAATTATAATATTGTAGCGCCATCTGTTTCCTCGCAATTGCTATTTAAAAATATTAAAGAAAAGCATCGGGCATGTCTGGCATAGTTAAAATTTAATTGAAGTTTATTAGTGATTTCGCGTTGTAAACAGCTAAAAGTTATTCATTCAAAAGTATTTATTTCTTAGGTCTAGCATTAATCATAATATTAATAATTATAATGTATAATCTCCAACTAAGGAAAGTGTGCGTGTTGACTTGCTGTAATAGAGCTTATTATTTCAAACAAAGTGTTTAGCTTCGTTATTAATTAAAGTTAATTAACTTAATAGATGCCTTAGTATTGTGATTATAAATATATTAAACTACGTACTATGTTACAAAAAACTTTCACTCTAGAACTACCTTACATGCAAAAAACTGAACTGTTCAGTATTTTTTTATCTATATTAATACTGCTATGTTCGCTAAGCTTGGTAAATTATGGTCTGTTGGTGTTTTGGTGTAAGAACAGTTATAAAAACAGATACAGAACCTATACGTTTTCTGTATACCACTATTCACTGTTATTTGTGTGGAAATGAAGGGAACCTAATACCTAAATATTATTTACTCCCTACCTTTTGTGGCTGCTGTTGGTGTTTATGCTTCAGTTCCACCCAGAATCTGGCCAAATTGATGGCCAGACCGATTAAGGCGATTATGAAGAATTTCACCTGAAAAAAAAATTAGCCATTTAAATTAAACAATACACAATTTTGACATTTTATGTTTTATTTATTATTTTTCGAAGGCCGTAGACAAATAAAGTTTAAGGGAAAAGGTTAGACAATGTTTTATTAAATTTATTACATAATTTAGTATATATATAATACTTACTTGTAACTTGAAAGACAGAATTTGAAGTAGAGTTCCGATCTTCGCCTTCAGTACTGCCCCAAGAAGCAGCAGCTTCAGAATAGCCTTCTTCTTCTTCTTCTTTTTACCTCTTTGTTCTAGAAGATTCATTTATTATTAGTACAACAGATATTCGTAGTTTTTTTTGATACCCATTTCAGACCGCATCGGCTTTCAAATGTAACACTGTTCTAATAAAATGATATATATCAAACACATATTAATATTTTTATAAGTTTCGTCAGCAGATGTATTCTGTATGTATTACCAATGTTTCTCTAGTTGCGTGAGAGTTACAATTACCCGTGACGTGAAAATATTTCATCTAAGAAAACTGGATCATATTAAAATAATGTAAATCTATGTAACGTAGATCCACTTTCTAGTTTTACTGACTTAATAGCTGGAGAATTTATTCCGAATTTAGTATCTGTATTTTATAGTGGAAATAGGGTATAGGGTGGAAACCGAGTAGAAATGTGTAATTATTATTTATTATACTTAGTGCTGCTTTTAATATCTGCTAAGTGCTAATCAAATAATAATCAGGTATGTTGAAAGAAAATTAAGGTAAGAAATAACACTAATCTACTACTAACACTATTCTAGCTACTTTCCCACATATTATAGATTGAAAAGTTTTTCTGATCACTATAATTAAATTATTTTAATCTAGAAAATGATTTTGTTTCTTTAAACTAAATCATAGAGAGATAGAGTCTAAATGTGTACAAAATGATACAAACTAAATAGGTAAATAAGAACCAGATTCTGGAACTACCAGGATTTTCACTAAATCGGCGGTAATTTACTACAATACATCTAACTAATTGAAGAGTGTACTACAATTGTAGAATCAATTTGATATCGCTTTACAGTAACTCGAATGCTGTCTGTATAATGGGAAAATTTGCTATTATTAAAAGGAATCGTTTTGGAGACATTTCTACTAATTCTTTGACGTGTATAAATATTAAATGCCTAATGATATTTTAATTATTGTTCAATCGGAATTGAGAACTTTTAATGGCACTCTAGAATTAATTTTATTAGAAACTATAAAACGTCTTTAGTAAAAATGCAGCGCTCGAGTTTCGTTAAGCCAAATTGATTCTACGCAAGACCCATCACCTTCTACAGTGCTTCTATCAGCCAATCCGTTCTCCACATTCTCCTTTTCCAATACGTGATCAGCTACAGCGTCTATTGCTCCCTCTCCGATCTTCCAAACGTCCCCCATGAATCCTCTGCCATCTGTCTCTACCAATTGACCTTTCTCCTCGACTTGCTTCGTTGGCATCAGAATCGGATGGAAGTGGATCTTGGGTGGCTTCTGCTTCTTTTTCATTTTCTTCTTTTTCTCCGATGACGCTGTTATCGTGATGCTGTCCAGACCACCCTCGTGCTTCTTTCTAGCTAAGGCGCTGTGAAGAATATAATATATATGTGCACTTGTTGCGTGTTTCCTTACAAAACAAAATTGACAAACTGTTATGAATGTTTATAGGGAATCCTGGATTTAGAGAAATTATTACAATATGTGGCGTGTACTTTTGTATTTAAAGAAGTGAAAACAGCTGAGACTAGCAATTCATCCCGCCAATTATAACAGTAACGCATCGTTAGTCATAAAAGAAATAATATATTCATATTTGGCTAGTTTATAAAATACCGGCAAAGTCCGACAAGGGTACCGCACCATTGACTAAACGAATTTCATATTTAAATAAAACACTTTAACGGTTTAAAAAGCGATATATTTTAGTTAAACTTGTTTGAAAATTAATTTTAACTACGGCCCGACGTTTCGGATGCTTTGCAGCAGCCGTGGTCACGGGGAGACTAAATACTACTAACTAGGTTTAACTAAAATATATCGCGTTGTAAACCGTTAAAGTGTTTTACAAATTGACTACTCGCGTAAACTACAGATAGAATTTCATATTGCAAACATTTTTATTCAAATGCCCACCTAGTAAGTAACTAGTAGTAGTAACAATGTTTATTTTGTTACAACAAGTCTTACTTAGTGTCTTCTAATAATGGTGACAAAGAAACTGATAGTCTTTTTAACCCTACATCTTTTTAAAATAAAAAAAATCCACGAATAAGGCAAACTCCACTGAAGATTTTCACTCCTTAGGGCATAACTTTCGCAACGAAAAGTGGTCTGTCCTCTTCGACAAAATGGCGTCTAATTTTACACACCGATCGAACCCCGCGGGCTTTAGCCTATCTTGAGAAAATATCTTATTTATTTTATTGCTACGACTTGTAATGCCGCGAATTATACCTAAGTTATTGTTGTAGATGAGCAGATAAAACGATCTGTTATTGTTACGCCTGCAGCGTCATTTACCACCTACTTTTACCAGATTTATTAAGCACGATAGCATGATATCTTTTTCAAAATACGAATCTCGTAGCTGTGCTTAGTTTTTAGGCGCATAAAGCCTAAACAATTTCTTAAAGCTAGTTTTTATACATAATTCTTCTATAATTGATTTAACTGACGTTGTGTATCTTTTAAATAAGTAGGCACACACTAAATAGTTTGAACTTTCACTCACGACCAAACATACAAGCATTTTCACTCTATATTGATTTAAGGAAAAGCATTTGTTTTCTTCGATTAACTGCGGAAAAAGTGTTTTCCAAAGTGACAAATTTATATTAAATGCTAACATTATATGTTTAATAACAACTTGACTGTTAGTACCTATATATTTCTTAAAAATTCGATTAAAACAATTGAGTATATTTCAACGACTTCTTAATTATGACTACTTGTTACTGTTAATCAGTAAAACTTATATAATACCTAGTTGAAATGCAAATTCACTTTGGATAGTGAAAGTGACACATCGACAGGTGAATATTAACAGTATGCAGGTGTGGAATGATAAGTAATCGGGCGTAAGTAGTGTTTAAAACAGTGCTCGAATGACGGTTGTTTTCTCTCGGTTAATTAGTATCTATTTTACTACTGTACCACCCCTGAAGCTGAACGGTTAAAGGTATTGCTTAGCATTGCCTTCAGTGCTAGAGACCCTGGGTTCAAATCGCGGGGAAAGAATGGATTGTTTAGATCGACCGGGGCACAGAAGTCTGATAAACCACCTGTCTGTAAAACCAATCATTGGAAGGACACAGAAATGTGTTCGCCCCCATTCCCCACGGGACGAAACAGAATTTTACTGTCATATGTGCTATGAAGATTGGATTTTTACTTAAAATGTTAATGGGTTATTTTAAGTTGTAAAATGGTAAAATTGCGAGAGATGAAAGCCAAAAATGGACAAAAATAATAAATTACTGGTTTCCTAGAGGAGAGAGAAAAAGTTTAGTTAGTTAGGTTTAGAGCTGTTCGGATGGAGAAGAATAGCAAGGATAGACATGCATGGAAAATGGAAAAAGGGCCTATTTATACGATGTGACAAATATATGTAGCAAGATTAGTCTTAGAGCGATAAGTTATTAAAACATATTGCAAGTTTAACTGTAAAGAGTGATAAGTTTATTATTTTATTTATTCTTGCGGTATTTTGTCCTCTAAGCTGTATAGCAGATGATTCAGGTATGATTGAGACTGTTAAGGACGTACTTATCAATATTAAAAAGCATACAGCGTTAGTAAATACTTTTAGTTTTTTTTGGAAACTCAAATCACTTTTTAGATTTAATTTTGTTTTTGTCCGGTCTAGTATCAACCTAAGTGTATGTTAAAAATGAAATAGATTTGTTGCCTAGCTAGAGTGTTAAACACAATATCTCTAATAACGCTCGTTTGAATATGTTTAGGCCATCTCCCAAAATACGATAACACAAGCGAAATAATCTGATCATATGTGGTGAAAGCGAAATGCGAGGTCAGTGAAATTTGACGAATACCAATGAGTAAGGTGTTTCCTTTTGTGGAACACGGTTTCTCTTTTAATATTAATCAATACTATTGTTCTTTCGGAATTGTAACGATTCACTAACACTTGTGCACTTTTCTGACACGGAGGTGCCTATTACAAAGGGAACTGTATTTGGAATCATTAACTGTTGCCTTGGGTATATAGTACTATAGACTATAAAATTAAACTTAAAAATGTTCCCTTCCCATTATTAGGCTAAGGGTGCTGAAGTCGCAGAGTATCTTATGTTGTGTATAGGTCAAAAGTGCAAACCCGTTTTCCCCCTTGGAATACGAACACATTTCTGTGTCCGTTTCACTGACCGGTATATTGATAAACAAGTAAAAAGACCAGACTTCCGTGCCCTGCCTGACTGACACAGTCTGTTGTTACCCCGGAATTCGATCACAGAATCTCTCGCCTCTAACGCAATAAGCTATATTAAAGATTAAGCTTGATGTGTTATACAGAATTAAAAATAAAGGAAAGTAGTTGGTATCTCCGGTGAAAACGCTTAACAGGGAAGTAAAACAAGTATCTTTCCCCAATGTGTTTTTATTTTCATATAAGATGAAAACGCGTATTTTAAATCTCAATTTTTGTACACACTTCTACAAAATATTAATAATTGTAATTTAGAAATTCAATTTAAAAAAAATCTAATATTAGAAGCTACTAAAACATACCGCGCCATGCCATTCTGCACCAAGTCGGAAAGAGAAAGGAGAGACTCCTCTATCTCCTTTCCGAGGACCGACGGCATCTCTTCGAGAGACCTTCCGGAGGATGTGATCTCCGCGTCTGCAGCATCTGGAAGACAAATTTAAGCATATAGTAACAATATTTACTAAAATTATTGACGCTCAAATCTGAAGAAAGTATTTTTAAACGATATAATAAGAAAATAGCAAATTTGACTTTGACATTAGAGACACCCTCCATCTTCAATCTCCCCGCGATCACAGTAACTGCAAAGTATAAGACATCGAGTCGTAGTTGAAATATATAAGTTGAAGTTGTATTTGGCGTTTTTAATCGTTCAAAGTACTTTATTTAAATGAGTTACATACATAGCGTTGTGTCAAAAAAGTAGTGACAATATTGATAAGTAAAAAAAAACGATGATAAATTGAAAATAATTCGACTCGGGCAGGAATTGAATTGGCATCGTCATTGCTCTAAACATTAAGCTATCGAGTCCCACATGCGTGTATGTGTGTTAGAGCAACAACACGGAAGGTTGACGATGTCGGGTTAAGTCCTGTCCTGTTTTGTATACCTTTATTTTAACCTTTTTCTGAGAACTATATTGTCGTTTTCCATTGGCTACAGGGTCACAACATCTTCATCGTGGTGTTCGATATAGTCACGAGAGAATACTAATTGAGACATCAACGTAGCACAAATCGCACGCCATTGTAACCCATTGTCTCTCGAATCAGTTACTTTGTTGCTTCGCTGATAAAGTCAAGTTCCCACAAACAAAAACAATAACGCGGATCAATTATTCTTTTCACTTTTCGTCTTTCTTCTAAGTGGAGAAAATGTGTTGAGCAACTTAGGAAATTCTGAGTACACCCTAACCTTTGAAATGTTTAATATTTTTCACAAAATTTGCACATGCACAAATGTAATTTAAAAGAAAAAAGTTGATATTTTCGACTAGGACTTAAGCTTCGTAGCTCTTGCTGTTTCATTACCAATTGGCTACCGACTCGGAAGCTTAATTTTTAAATTTTTGTAACAGTTCTAATCTGACAAAATTTGACAAAATTAACACGTTGTATTATTTAATTTTATCTCTTGATTCTTACTACACGGTAACAAGTTAAACTTTTTCATTTTAACTACAAGCCATATATTCACGTTTATTTAATTTTATTTGTATTACCATTAATCTTTAGTCCGCATCCGAATCGTCGGGCCGTATTTTAAATAATGTTTAAACAAGTTTAATTAATATATATCGCGTTTTAAAATGTTCAAGTATATTGTTTAAATAATATATGTATAATTTAAAGTAAAAATACATATGTAAGTTGAAAAACAGCTAACATCTGCGTTACAACTATTACGTTACTTTGCATGACGTCATTGGTTCCACATATAAAGAAGCAATAAAATTTCCGTAAAAAATGGAGACCAGAGAAAGTAAATGTCAAAATTGTGGTGAAAGTGTATAATTGCGCAGAATTACGTGTGCAAATTGTCATTTAAAGAGCATAATATCCTTCGACGAACTCGTTTTCTCAAAGCAGCAGGGTGGGTCGTTGTGATCTTGACGAATTAAACGCGGTAGAGCACAAATTTCTAGCGATTATTTTGCAAACCGGTTTTGAATACGATATCGCAAACATTTTCATTAAGACTTCCTTGATATTTTAGTGTTGGATGTTTTTAATTAATCTTTTTGCCATATTATTTACCTCAAGCCTCGTAAGCATAATTGCTGTAACCACCGAGCGTGTCTACGCTTCTGTAGTTAAATGGTTAAACGTTTTGCCTAGCATTGCGTTAAGGGCAAGAGGTCCTGGGTTGGAATCCCAATGAAACGATATATTGTTTCGGTCACTTAGGGCACAGAAGTCTGAGCAAAAACTTGCTTAAAAGAATCGCTCAGTAAAACAAAGAACTGTTTTCGCCCCATGCCCAACGAGGGGAAACTTGACTTAAGTATATGAAACATAGCATCGAATAATACTTTACAAAATGTAATTTTAAGTAGGTTGAATAATACTTAATAATTAGAACATTTTACATGCAGGTTAAATGCAGTCTCAGCGCACAAAACAATGCCTTGTGGCTACCACAATTGCAAGTCAAGTGAAGTCAAGTATAAGTAATAAAATGTCATGATGACAATAATTCAAATGTTAGAGTCTCGTTGAAAGTGTGAAATACTGTAGTTACTATAACTGCATTGCGCGGTTCGTGAGCATCGAAGATGTACGGTGTGGCCATGCAAATGGCGACCGATCGAGAAAAATAGCTTTGCGTGTTTGCATGATTACTTCATTGATTAATAATGAGATCCTTTGATTGTTGATGACTGCAAGATATAATTGAATTAAGAAAATTTATTGTAAAATCTGCTAATAGAAAAACTATTTTGTTATTTTTTTAGGGAAATGCGCTAGCCCTCGCCTCGATGGCTGCCTGAAGCATGGGATGTGGCCTGGGGCTGTGTGCATGGGGGCAACATCCTCGGCTCGAACTATCGGTGAATTACGGAAAATCCCTATTTGTATACGTTACACAATATTATAAACATTGGAAATTTCTTACGAGTGGCAGTAAAGTCGCATATATTTATTTTTAATTTTCTTAAATACACTGTGGAATCACGACGACCAGACAGACAAACCTTTTTACATTTTTTTGACGAATCTATATAAGGTTATTTTTAAATATAAAGACAATAAAGTATATTTTATTTTTATTTAAGATATTTTCTTTATTAAAAGGCGTATGAATTTTATATTGTAATGTAGAGAACAATCTTTAATACGCTTCTCAGATCACTACTTTCGAGGCCCATTAGTTGTGATTAATTTGAAACAATAAGCCGCGGTTGGCGGAAACCGTGTTACCGAGATGAAACTTCCGTAAACTATGACGTCTCCTTAACTCAACAGGTAAGAAAAGGCAAGAAAATGAAGATTACTTTAACACTGGAACTATGTGATTATTACTTTTAGATATTGATATTTAATTTTTTTGCAGAAAATATAAGACGTGTGTGTTTGGTAACCTAAGTCATATATATATTTGGAAAAATGTAATGGCTATATTTTTTAAGTAAAACGAGGGATATTTAAAAGATATATCGACATCAGCTTAAAAAAAATGATTGTAACTTCTACAAACAAAATACGCTGTAATTATGAACTTTAGATCAGGATGTGTCGTTTTTGCCTGTACTTATAATTACGTAAATGTTTTTCCTCCTTGTAAATTAGTAAATTACCTCTCCACAGCTTCCTCTGCTTGTCCACTTCCTTGTCCCAGCCGTCGAGCATCTTCCCCGCCTTTTCCTTAGCGCAACCCCAGGCGTCCTCCCCGCTGAAGCAGTCCAGAATGGACATGAAACCGGGCGCGAAGTTCTTCCCCAGATTCATGACATATTCGTAAGAACTCTCGATGATACTGGCACTCTGTACTGAACTGAAGATTAGGAGGAATATAAAAACTTTTTGGTGGGCCATGTCAAGTCAAAGATAACTCTTTTTTTACGGCGCGCGTTTGCGCTTTCACGACCAAGGTTACACTGGCACGCTCGTGAGAAAGCAGTGCTATATACATAGATACTTTCTTTGCGCGTCCAGTTTGAATGAGCAGACGGGTTTAACGCCTAGTGTGACCTTCTTCGATATGCGGATGTCGCCTTGTTCAGCGTTTTGGCAATATCTAAGAAAAGTCGTCGAAACTAGCTTAGGCCGGCGGCTTTGCATGGCTTATCTCTCCGTGTTCTAAGACTGCAAGAGAAGACACAGAAACATTTACATACACCCACACAACCTTATAAGTTTTGTTACAAGCACTGAGATATAGTTTATAAATTATATGTATATAACCCGAATGTATATGGGTTCTTGAAATGGGGTGAAGTTAAATAAAGTAATTTATACTATCAAGATGTAGGTATAACTGAAATTAAAACAATACACAAGTATTACCAAAAGCTTATAAATACTTATGCTCATAAATATATTACAATTACAAAATAATATTAAACTAATCTGAATGTCTTGTAAAATGTTGGTGGCCAACCTTGTATAAATTAATTGTAAAAAAACCAAAAGTCAAAATTACCAATGTCAAGCTTTTTGACATACTTCATGTATAAATTAATATTTTTAATTATTGCAATGGCGTAATAAAGGTGTTAAAAGGAATTGAATCATTAACAATGTCATAAAATCAAAAACTTGATATTGTGAAAAGTTAATATAGTTTTTGTTAACTTTCATGAGAAACAAATAATTGTGTGTTTTGTTCTATAAAAAGTTATTAAATAATCAATTAAAATGTGGTTTGGACATATTGAATGCATTAATAAGTGAAAGGGTAAAGTCGAAACAAAAAATGTTGTTTGTCTCGTTCTAAAGGTCAGATGCAACCATGACACGTGAGGTATTTTGAATCTCAGGTAATCTGTTCAGTTCTCTTCTGTTAGATGATAGAGGAAGACGTGGGAAGGTAGGAAGGCAGCATTTCAGCAAGGTATGACATTTGAAAATCCACGCATCCGAAACGCGAGATTACTATCAAGACAACACTACGTATTGTCTGTAGTTTACGCGAGTTGTACACATTTTAATGAATCACTTGTAACGGCTTAAAACACGAAATGTATAAGTCAAACTTCTTTACAAATTATTTTAACTACGCCCCGTCGTTTCCCCGTGATCACTGTTGTTGCAAAGCATCCGAAACATGAAGTCGACATTTCGCGTTTTAAAAGTGTTTTATTTGAAAGACAATGCTATTCTATCTCTGGACGACTTTACGTTATTTCTATGACGCATTTTCCAAATGAAGTCGTAGATATTTCAGAAAATTTAAGAATTAAATATACCTACATGTTGAATTAGCTAGGAGTCGAACTGCTGACCCAATAATGAACCGCAGATTGCTACAAACGAGCTCGTCCGTAATCTTATTACATCTTATTTGCCATATTTTCTAGCGCTGTAATAAGAAAGTGGGTGAACCTTTGGAAGATATAGAAGTGCAATCCTGTTATTCAAATTATTAAAAAACCTTTATAGTGGAAATCTGGATATTAAATTAGTGGTTGGAATATTGACATTCCGTTCGGGTCACGAACCACCATCCAGGATCCACCACAGATGCAAAACCGTCAAGTTCATTCGCATTTTGTTTATTCAGTCTATGGATTTCCAAATATCCAAAGCACCCAAAAAACGGGTCGCCAGTGCGTGTTGCTGAGATATTATATGAATGAAAATAACCCTTTGACGGATATTAAAACAGGTGATAAAATTAATAAATACATGAAAAGCTTATAAGCTATGTCACTTTCTTCTAAGCAACGGCGTTAAAAACAAAAATGTAGTCATTACAAACATCAACTTTACAAAATATAGTAATAATAAAACTGTAACACAAAGACGAAAAGGATAGAAAATTAAATGTCGATACATATTAATTTCTTAGCCAACTAGATTCAATACTCTAAAATCTAAATACATACCTCCGATCCAGTGGTCGAGTCAAAAAAAGCTAATGTTCCAGTACACTATTACTGTCCTGTAAAGGGCGCTCCTACAATAGGGAATTTGATTATGTTTAAAAATTAAGAGAGGTTACTACATAATACATTGATTTTACGAATATTAGGTATTAACTTTTAAGAACGCACTCTACTCAAAGAATTTTCTTAACAAAGCTAGAACGCTCTCTAGCGTGCGGGCGTTAAAACTTATTCTTAATTGAAAGTCACATATATATATTACTAAAAATTGTACACAAGCGACAACCAAAAGCGTCTGGCAGTCCGAGCTGACCTCGTGCGGTCGTTGAATAAAGAAAAAATAAACTACCCTCCAATTTTATTTATTTTATTTTTTTTAATTTAAAGTATAGTGGGTTAGTTTTCTCTATCAATTTTAACACTACAATCAGAGACGGATGGGCACAGGGCCCAGCTGTGGGACTTAGTAGGTTAATGGGTTGAAACAATAAAGTCCAAACTTTATACCGTTTATTACACATTTCTTAACAATAAAACACCTGCAACCTTCATTGTAATTTATTCAAAAAAATACTTAAGCAAGTTTGCTAAATATAGATATAACTCGCTCGTCTTTCGCTACCTTAAGGTCGCTTGATTACAGACCATGGTAATATTTAAGCGCTGACTAAGCTAGAATTATGTTATTTACTTAATGTAGCTGGTGCCTCTATGTATTCAATACTGTTCGTGATTTTAAACCATGCCAATTTCATTAAAAAAATTAAATTATAACGGTATCAGAACGGTTCAAGATTCATATCTCGTTTTAAAAGTCTTATTAACCATCACTTTTATGGTTAAGTGTCTTGTAAAACAATAATTATGAAACCTAAGGCTATTATAATAATCATTTGAGTCACACGAATCAGCAATCGTGATTCAAAACGTTATAAATATATTTAATTGTAGCGAATAATAATGAATAATTATTATTTTTATAGTGCTTACACTACACTTGTACTCATATTTTATTCTTCGGGTTTAGTTTCGTTGTTTAAAATTTCTTGCACGTGCCCAATGTAGTATTTTGTTCGTGTTCTATTAGAATTTGATTTAATCTCGTTACATATAAATTAGACATAGTATAGCTGTAATAATAGAGTAGATAAAGTTAGCGTTATTCCCCAGATCTTTGTGAGGGTTTCCATGAAAATTGTCAAAGACTGGGAAAACCGGAAATCTAGAAACTGGTCCGTGATGATAAAAATAGGGTCCAGTTACTGTATGCCTCAACCATTCAAGGTGAAATACCAAAAGTGGTAAACAATGCAACAATATACTACTACTATCGCAAACTAAAAATTTGTTAAAACTGCTTTTAGGTCATGTACATGTGGTTTCTTAAAACTATTGCCTTTCTCTTTAGAAAATGTCCCTTCAAAAATAAGTATTAAAAGGTACGAAAATTTTTATCAATGACTAAGTATACTAAATTAATCAATATTCCGAGATTTAAGCCCAACTTTTATTCTAAACCAAGGAGATCCAGTCAAACGTCAATCACGTGGTCTATATCCTAAGTTTGTATACGTTTTAAATAAAACGTTTCGCCTTGTATAAAGTATATGACCCGTAAAAGCGTTCATTATATATTTAATACTTTATACAGGTTCGTGACATTGTCATAATATTTTTATCATGTGGCCAACGTAATCAGATCACTAAAGAGGTTTACCTCTGCGCCGGTGCACGCGCGGTCTTTTTTACCTTTGCAACGTTTTGCAGTTCTATTGAAAATGAATCTAGTTATTTGTTCGAGGAAAATCGGTTTGTGAAATAGTGCTTGGAACAAAATGGCAGACGTAGAATCGGGTGGTCTTAGTGGGGAAACCAAAGCGTTCTCTCTAAACTTGGTAGTGCGGACCGTGTACCACGCTGTATATTTTGTCGGTGACAACTTTGTGTTGGCCTGGGGGCTGTACATCTGGTACCACATTGGGGAACGTGACCTGGAGCACCCGTTACTGCACAATCTTAAATATTTGGCGCCGGCCTTCTTCACCAACTGGAATTTTGTAAGTTTTGAGCTGGATATATTTTATTAGTTCATTTTATGATACCTTCTAGTAAACTATGATTGAAACGAGAGCATGCTGTTTTGTCAGAGACAGTCGTCTTATTTAGTCGAAACTTTGGTAGTGGGATAACAATATATTATGTATGATGAACATCTTATTTTTAACGTATAAGAAACGAAATAAACTCCTTCGTACTTACAAGAGAAAGATAATGAATAAGGTATTTGTTTTATTTTTACATCTTAAAAATGTATAACAAGGAAATTATATGATTTGTAAAGTATTATTCAAAATAGTAATAGTCGCATTGATTAAACTCACAGTTTTGTGTGTAACGAAACAAGACCTTAAAAAATTGAATAATCAATATAAAAATATTTATTAATTTGCTATTTGTTAAAGAATATGAAAGTTTAATAATAAACATTTCATGAAATGACTATTCGGGGCTCTCAAGACAACGAGCACTGCGTACCGCGCTGTTGCCCAGTACAGTAGCAGTATTTAATTTTGCTCAAAATAGAAGAGAGTGGTAATTCATCTTTCAATGAGTACTTAAAAAAAGAAAAATTCTTTTGTATATATTTTTATCGTTGCTAAGATTTACCTTTAGTAGTCAGTAGAAACCAGTCGTAACTAGGAGATAAGCTATGTTTGGTTTCTTTTTAGCAATTGGTATCTCGACGAAACTGCTCAAAAACGTTTTAGGAGGATAAATTCCAAGTGCAACTTACTGCGTGTCGAATACTTTATGTTCATTTTATCGTTCATTTGTTAATAAAAGTAGGTCGTATACTAAGTTTTATGGGTTAATAGAGGTTCGTGAAGTAGTTTAAAGAGAAAGATAACAAATATTTAGTGGCGCTACTTTACTAGCCCTTCGGGACTCGAATTTGGGACTACAATTTAATGCGATAAGATACGGAGGCGGAAACATGAATAAGAAAAATTAAAAAGAAAATATATACCACTTGAATGATTTAGAAAAAATGGCAAATTGTCTCTACATCAGAAACTTAACGACTCGTGACTTATTATCTTTTTCCTGCATTATAAATTAATTTGAATTCTATATTTCACATTACTTAATATTATTTGATGTAGTGTACTAGTATTCCTTCGAAACTCACTCCAAAATTATGTGATTAAACAAAATGGCGGACATTGAGAGTGCCACTCCGCCGAAAGAAAGAAAATCCGCGTTTTCCTGGAAACTACTGCTTCTCACGGTCTACCATTTGGTCTACTTTGTTGGTGACCATGCGATTTTCGTCCGCGCTTTCAGATTTCGTGGAAAAATTAAAAAGTTGGCTCCTCAAAGACCGGAGTATCGTCTCTTTAAGTTTATGCCGGCGTTCTTCACCAATTGGAACTTTGTAAGTACAAAAGTGTACTAGGAACAATATGTCAATTATTGAAAAGTATGTATTGACATAACGTAAGTGTATAGTTAGCCTTCGAAGCCCGAGTTAACATTTTCTCTTATTCTTTAGTTGAAATGGGTGTAATTGTTGTTCACACTTTATTTCTTTCCTTTTGTCTCCCTTAGCACTCTAGAATATTTACCTTACTAGGGCTATTCCTTTCGTTTCTCACAATTTTTACTGGTGTTTAAAGAAAACTAATCCAGAATTCCACTTCTTGAATTGACGAGCAACATTAAAATTAGGCTTACAATACATACAATTGTTTTTCTGCAAATCTCCACGGAATTGAACAATCGAAACGATTCCCAAAGCTTCTGTTAAAAACGAGCTGCGATCATGCTTTTTACGTTTATTTTAAACAACACGTAATATTTTAATCGCATTACAAAGTGTGCCCGGATTTGGCGTGGCCGTATTGACAATTATGTTTTAAAATGGCGGATATTGAAGCTCTGGCTTCGAAAGATGTTAAATCTGTATTCTCCTGGAATCTAGTGTTGCGTACGATATATCATTTGGGTTATTTTATCGGTGACAATGGGATTTTAGTGTGGTGTTTGGGGATCGGTGATAGAATCAATCGAGCGGCGAGTAACAATCCAGCTGTTGCTACTTTTAAGTATATGCTACCAGCCTTCTTCACGAATTGGAATTTCGTAAGTTCAACTTTGTTTTGTTTGTTTATTGTATTAAAATTGGTAACGCTTTAGTTTCGACTAGAACGAATCGAGTATATAGTAGACACACATTTTATGATCCTCTTAATATTAATTTTTTTTTTTAATTTCTCTATTAAAAAATAACATTAAAAAGATAAAATATGCAATTAAAGTTATAAATATAATAAATAATTAAACTAAAACTGGCACTCAGTTTCGGATAGGTACTTCGCTAGCTCGTGAATTATTGTAAGAATATCTAATAAATCTTAATATGACTTGATACAGATTAGCGTAATCAATTTAATGCACAGTTGGAACTGATTGATTTATGATTGGATGAAGATGATTAGTCGTATCGAATCCTATTCACATCGAAAGTACAAACTGGTGTAACGGTCAATAATTTATTAAAAACAAATGTATACTCTACTGGTATAACTGGTCGTTTAACATACTTTATTATAAAAATTAACAGATTATACTATGAAGTCACGGAAACAAGGTCATTACTCATTCGCATATTTTGAATAATCAATGAAAATTTGTTTGTGGATGTGGTACAAGGAAGGCTTTAGCATTGAATACAATATTTAAGCTGCGACCAATGGCAGATGTGGAAAATTATTCATCTCTGTGAGTTTACGTTGCAAAAATATATATGATCTTACAAAATGTCATCTATTATATATCTATCTTTAGAGAGTCTTAAGACTAACATCCAAGAATGACGGGAAGCGAACGACGTCGACGGTAATACATACCTAAAAAGCTATTCTACGTGGACGAAGTCACTGCACAGCTAGCGTTAAATAAATCATGAAAGTCTAGTATAGCCAGACACTTGGTTTTACAACAAAAAATTAAAAATAACAACACATAGGTATTTCCTTGAATTGTGCTCGTATCACGTAAGACTTCACATAGCCTTCCTCGTGTTTTTTACGACACAGAGTGCGGTGACGTCACATTTCTCATATTTCAAGTTTAATATAATTTATTGCAAATTAATCCGCACTTTTGATGATTCTTGGATTTCTTGCGTCCTTTTGCTAACCTTCTACAATATAGACACAAAAATAAATTAGCAACCACAATTGGAAAAAGGGGCAAGAACTGCCTTAGACTTACAAAATTATGAACGTTAATTTTGTTGTGTCTTTAGTTACGTTTATATAAAATGCCTGTTACGGAACTAGATTCGTTCAGTTAAGTCATACTAATATATTTTTGCATGTTAGACGGATAAAAGTGTTTTATTTAATTAAAGTATTTTAATTAGATTGCCTTACTTAGGTCATTAGCTTAATAACAGTGTAGAAACTATCATTTATGCTCTTAATTATTTTTCCAAACGTCAACGATTTGTGAATGTTATGTCACGTATAGTCTCTTTGTTCAATGTTATGATTAATTATAATAAAATATCACGTACAAATAGAATCGTCTTACTCTTCTAGTAGCAGTGTGGAAATCTAAATAAATAAAAATTAAATCATTATTTCTTCAGTCTTAATTAGTAATTAAACAGGCATTGTCTTAAACGTGGTACAAATAGAATCATGCGCAACTTATTATGCAACTAAACAATTAACTAATGTTTTCATTATTATCTTTTGCCATGGTATTTGTCGATACACACATTTATAAACATATAGCTAACTAATACATACCTCCGGTCCAGTGGTTGGCCTGATTCGCACTATTATTGTGGCGTTTCTGTCTGTATCGTAAGTGAGATTAAATTAGGAAATAAAAGGGGGGTCGGGTATACACTTACGTCACCACGTAGTATGCACACTGAATTTACGATTTTGTATTACTCTTAATAACGCACTGGACTCGCGGAAATTTTAATGACAATATTTAGAAATCTCATACTTTTATTGGGCTGTTACATAAACTTAATTAATTAAAAAACTGTGCACAATCAACTCGCAAGAGCGACACCAAAAAGCATCTGCCAGCGTGCGCTACTTTCGTTCCGCCGCGGTACCGATATTACAAAACTACCGTCCTATAATATTATTCCGAATAATATTGTGGCCAAAAAAAATGAATGGAATATTTATTAGACTTTTTTTATCAATCAATAGTTGAATTTTACGATTATATTTTATGTTATTTGAGGATCGCACGATTAGATCAGTAAAAATAGAGAGTTAATAAAGAGTTTGAGAACTTTCAATTACGTTTTAGAGGCTATAGGATAATAAGGAAACTTTTCAGCTTAGCACAGTAGCATCGATCGCAGTTAATTTTGGCTTTGTGTTAATTTGCTGCGTCCGCGATCATAACTTTTCCCGACACATGTAACTGAGATTAAAAACATTAGCATAAACCTTGACTCTTGTCTTGAAGTACGTCATTACACGGTTCAAACATTATATACTGTCATATATCTTCATGTAACTAAGCGAAATGGGTGTTAAGATGAAGAGGAATCACAATTATTTCAAATTACTATTTCACTGTGTGGCTATCGCTAATCTCCTCGTCTGTTGTTTCGGGACAGTGTTGCTAGTATATTTTGAATGTGATAGTGTGGAAAGTTGGGAATCAAAGGCTTTGAATTTAAGTTTTTTATCTTTACTTTGTACGGTGAGTGTATTTATATTTTTTCGTAGTGCAGTCTACACCCTTAAATTCAGTATTTACAAGTTTTCGAATATAAATTCAAACAACTTGTAAAATGTGTAAATTTATTGTACTTCGACGATGAGTCGTAGGTTCGATTTTCTTCATTTCAAAATATTACACGTTCGTTTCAGTCCCATTGTTTTTCGAATGTACATAAAAAAATATGAACGAAATAATGAACCAGAACCATGGAAGTATCTATGTAGTTTTAGTGCAAGCGTAAGGAGTGTAGAGAATCGTTCATTAGGAACTTATGTCTGCCTGCGAACACGATTTGTGAAGTAAAATAATCTCACACACATTTAAGAAGTTTGCGAAATCCTTGAAGTTTGAACCGTTTGACGTTGTTGCTAGACGTCCATAAAAACCACAATCTTTGGAATTGTAGGTACTTGCGAAAATTACAACTACCTACTTACCTACTTCATTTACATTTCGTGTATCTTTTCAGTTATTTACTAAAATATTAATAAAGTGTATGACTTTTTAAGCAGCTCCTACCTACATTTTCAAAACAGTTATTACACGTGTCTCAAACGAAGATATGTACTTTAATCTACTAAGGCTTTAATTACCAAGTTTTTTCAGCATTGGACCTGTTAAGGAAATATTATAGTTAATTTCTGGTCCCTCGTCTCGACCAGTATGGGAATCCTATTTTTATCGTCAGCTATCACAAATTAACCCGTTTGTTAAATATTATCAGTGAAACAAAGGGCACGTAGATATGAGCATATTGTTGCATCATAGATTCGTGTTGCCATCGCAAGTTTAACAGAATTGGTTATACTACTAAATAATTAATTGTAATAAGGTAAAGGAGAATAACTGCCTAACTAACTTTTATTGTACGAATGGAGTAAGGCGCACTCATGTTTTTGAGCTTTACTTATCGATTTTGTTCACATTAGATGTAAAGTTAAACCTTATAAATAACCACTAGATAGTGAATAAAAGGATAAGATTTTTATTTATTTTGTTTTGTTATTTAGTCAAGAACAAATTTTGTTAGACACTAATATTTTTGGGACGCAGATAACGACGAACGAAATTGCGTTTTCGTCATAATTGCTCTAAACGTTTAACAGGCGTTGCGATTTTAATCAATAATCATTATGTAGATTGTCTTTGGATAATGCAAATAAAATATTTAAAATATCTCCAAAACTTGTATACATAATTAAATCTTATTTTTCATCTTTTTACGTTCTCTTTGCAAGGATTTTTCCTTTCCAATACGCTACAATTTTTACAGTAGGTGTCTCACTGTAAAGGTATATCGTGATTAAGTGAAATTAAAACGCAAACATTGTTAAACAAAAAACAATTTGGTGAAATGAAATATGTGAGCGGGCAACACAGTTGTCAAAATGTTTGGCTACCGTCTCGGTTCCTAGTCGAATATTAGTCGCCCTTAACCATCCGGGCGTCTAATTAGTTTATAATTGTAGTATTAGTTTAGTCATAATGGAGGATTTTATTTTGTTCCGGGAAAATAATCTCTTCTACAACATCCTGTGTTTCCTGATCACGGAAAATGAGAAATTGTTCGATAGAAGCGATGCGAAATTGTATTGGAAAACAGTGTTTCATATTTGTGGATTGCTTCACCACTGCTACATAGGACTGTTCGCGAACAGTTTGGGAATAGACAAGAGTCTGGTCCCCGAAATCAAATGTCTGTACACTTTTCGACTGGCATATTTGACTGGATGGAATTTTGTAAGTTTTTTTTACATCTCTAAATTTCAAAACGGACAATTTGAATTAAACTTTTTGAAACGGAAATATTACTGAGACAACTCTTGTCGTGTATGTATCTATTATTTAAATAACTATTTTCAAACATTACGATAATTGAGTTAATTCGCGCAGAATTTGTAATAAGCACTCACAAAACAAATACCTACATTTAAATTATTGTAATGTCATTTTTTATTGCTTCGTAATATATCATATTACAATGTTTATTTTGTACCAATATGACTTAATTACACTGATTATAGTAAAAAAAGTTAATGTTTTTGCATATGCAAACGACATCCAGACATAAATATGATTTTGATAAATTTTAATACATGCAAAACAACTTTTACAAAGAAGTATTTACAAGTCACGTTTTTCACGTAAGCATCAACATTCTTTAAACAACGGCTAAAGTTGTATCCGTACTTGACGGTTTTAAACGCTATCTTATTTAGTTGAAAACTAATGAATGAGTATAGTTTGCATGTTAAACTGTTAATATTAATACTATTATGCAACTAATCATGCGTTAGTTACATGTATTAAGTTGTAATAAATAGTCGATTTTGGTCATTATCGAAAATATCGAGTCTATATGTCATAATTATGTATGTACATGCTCGTGTGAGCACCCTCGCGACTGTTGGGAATATAGAAGTGATCACTTCATATGAACCGTTGCGTTACGTAACGCATTCTGTTCCATATCCCGTGTAAATTGATAAAAAAGTACGTGTATATATTTAAATTAAGTATAATATGTCATGTTAAGTAATAATAACTAACTACTACTAATTTTTTATGTGATTGTAATCGTCAAATGTGGACAGTCACAATATATAGAAAATGAAATGTTTTCAATTTTCTTATTAATTGTAAAACACTACATCCATCAAATTAAGTTATCTATTTGAAACTTTACTTATTTATAATTTCATACAAAATAGATTATGTGTCGTAAGTTTTATTTATTTTTTTAATTATGACGAGATTAAATTCTATATCGTTAGTGATTGTTTCTTAAATTGTCATTTTTTTGTTTGACCACGTAACATAATATCCTGACCTCCAAGTCACAATTTACTACCGAAGCACTGATAAAACTAAGCCGGTATTTTTGTTTATCAGCTGCAATATAATAATCAACTAATCGACAACATTAAGGAAGTTAATGGTAAAAATAGTCACCATACGACTGGAATCACAAAATGCCAATTTAAACCATTGTATTTTATGCGACTTAGTAGATTAAACATCTAAAAAAACTCTGTGAACGATTTAAAATAACTTATTTGTAATTGATAAAAAAACTAAAAATTACTAATCAAACATTGTATTTTAGATCTCGGCAAATGCGTATGTATATTAAAATAAAAAAAAAAACAGTTTTCCGACATTTTTTCCTAAAAGTTTTCATGCTGCAAATTTTCGTAAACGTCGGGCCTTAGTTAGGACAAATTTCAATAATTTTAAGTTTAATTTTAACATAGAAAATTCGAAAACGCAATGTTTCATTGTTTAATACAGTATTTATCCTTTAAATTCACACGAGAGCAGGGGAATGCTGTCACGTGTCGGGCCCTGTGGTGTCGAAATGTACGCTTGTCGACACGTGCTCAGCCCTTTGACCGAGTCATTGGCCTTAATGATAACAGCTGTTCCGTCTTTTATTAATTACGACAGCAAATGTTTAATTTTGGTATGACCCGACCAGTAAGCAGAAATAAAGGATCTGCTCATCTATGCATTTTATAATATACAAATGGGCAGTACATACACGATATGTATGTATGTATGTTCTAGCCCATCATTTCAGCTCAAGAACGGCCTTTCATTATTATAAAAAGTATTTACTAGAATATATTTACAAATATATGACATACTGTTAATCGCGATTCTGTTCAGTCCCTAAATTTTCAAATGCCCTTTAGTAGTTAACCCAAAGCTCGTGTTTCACAAGGAGAGATGTATATAAAAATACTCCTATCTTAACAACGACATTGTTTTGTAATTGTTAAAGGATAAGTAAATACTATTACTTTTTACTTTTAAAATCATAAATTACTTAATGATTTTGTTTAATATAAATCAACAATCAGTTAAACACAATATAGTAGATAGTCATTCACACGAGACGTGCGCTAGACAGGAGCGGGTCAAAGTCCGTTTCAATTACGATAACACATGACCCAATACAATTATGATAAAGCGGTGCTGTAATCACGTGATTTTGTTTGTCTGTCAATTTTAGTCATCTCGAACGAAATCTATTAAGCGTGATTTCGGCTTACAGAAAACATTCATAAAAAAAATATTTTTTACGACCAACATCGTACCGTAGCGTGGAAATTTCTCAATATCTTTGCTTAATACCAAATCGCATTGCACGAGATTCAAATAATCTGTTACGTGCATGCATTAAACAATCTAAGATGGACATAAGCTCAATGTCGGTCGTGGCTTCGAGTCCTACAATTTAGATATATTCTTTGTTATCTTATCGAATTTCTTCTACCCATTGTAAATCACCTCTTGCCCAATGTAATTTTTACCTTTAACTATGGCGGGAACTATACGAGAACTATAATTAGAAAATATTTCCTATTCCAAACGATAGTGTTTCATTTAATAAAGTGTGTAGACAATCATGTTTTTTTAACTTGATTAATTTTTCCCAGTCCTTTCAAACATTATTCCTGGGCCTCTCGCTGCTACATGACGTCCTGGAGTGGTCAGGGAAGCACAATGGCAACTTCGGGTCCAAGGTTCGATACTGGCGAGATGTCTTGTTCTGCGGGTGCGTTTTACCGTTTACTTTGGTAAGTAACTTCGTGGCTCTTCCATCTGTAGACAGTGGTTCGTGACCCGGACGAAATTTTATTCCTTCCACTGATTAAATATTGAGTTTTCCAGACGTGATTCAGATTGATGATACGTTGTTTTGAAATCTGTTAAATCCGATCGATTTATGATCAAACCCACGACCCGTTCGTTTTTAGCCTTAATAAGCAATATATATATACTGATACACTTCCCTACTAAACGCAAAAAACAATATTAGATGGCACATAAGTCCATGTTTTCCTTTATATTTGAATATAATTTGTAGCTACATCTTATTAATTTCAGTTCGTATCCTCAATGTTCTGGACCGTCTACGCCATTGACCGCGAGCTGGTATTTCCCAAAATCTACGATGAGGTAGTGCCTTGGTGGTTCAACCACTGCGTCCACACGAATATCCTCGTAGTTCTGGCGCTGGAGACTCTCTTGCAGGCGAGAAGACATCCGACAGATAGAAAGGTTGAGGTCACGATGTACTGGGGGGTGGCTGTTGCATACGCTGTTGTGTAAGTAACGAGACTTTGTTAAGAAATTATTCTAGGGGTTGAAGAACAAGAAACATGATTATTAATATGAGTCGCTTTTTAACCCGTTATACTATTTCATGTGATGTGAGCTGCTTGCGGAAACTACAGACTTTACAGTTATTTTAATTTTAATTGTATCATTTTCAGATACTACACAATATACTTTGCAACCGGCCGCTGGCTTTACCAAGTCTTCGGCGTCATGTCCTGGTGGCAGGTCTGCCTATACCAGCTCTGGATCTGGCTTTCCTCCTACATCTTCTACTTACTTCAGTTCCCCATCAACCGGTTGTTCCACGCGGAAGAGAGACCGCAGATATCGGAGAGTAACGGCGAGACAAAGACAGCGGATGGAGAAGAACCAAAAGCGGAGAACGCTAAAGTGATAACTGATTTGAAGACTCCGCCCTTTTCAACCAGGTCGTGGAGTGTGAAATTCAGGAGCTTGAGGAATCACTTCGAAACGTCTCGCCTGTGATATGTGCATCTGAAGTTACTTCGCAACGCTGCTGAAGACGCATTGTATGGGTCAAAAGTTCGGTTGAATTTGGTCTAGAAATAGAATAAAATGTACTCCCTTCTATCAATCGCAGCGATATACTTAATAATTAAACTCAGATAAAATATCTTTAAAAAAACTCGGGCTAGTAGTATTCGAATAACCAGGGGTAACCAATCATATAAACAAACTCTTTAGGAATATAGGAACTTCCGAGCCAAGTGATATGAAAGCTGTTCGGCATTGCAATCCGTTAGATATAACAATAATTATGTGTATAATTGTAATGTATAAGTGTTTAACGTAATTGTAAATGTTATAAAATCATATTATCAATTTTATTCTAGATTCATATTGAAAGCAGTAATTTTTTTGTATTTATTGTATTAATGAATTCTTCTGATGTATTTTTTATTTAACTTTATATTACCAATGTATTTTATGAACTTGGAAACAGGACACGAAATATGCGTCTGCATTATATTCTTCATTTACATATATTAGTAATAGGTTTCTTATGGTAAAATAACGCGGTGATAATGTTTGTAATATAGAAGTTATTATATAAAAGTCGTATTATTTACAGCCTTATTAATTTTTAAGTATATAAAACCAGACAAATAATTTCAATATTTTTATTATTGTATTTTTACAAAATTCCTTAAAACTAATGATTGTTATAAAATAATTACAGAGTTTCAAATATTACCAATATCAGTGCTTAATAAAAATCGTAAAAGTCCTAATTGTTGTAAAGAAGACCTACGCTGTAATCGAAATGAAGACAATAATTATAGACATACGGGACAATGAAAAACTGTTTCAACGGAAAACAAATTAGGCTTTAGGCCGCAATAAGCGGGATTCTAGCAAGTAAGACTTTACAATTTCCAGGTAACCTTTGAAAAATACTAATGACGTAGGTAACTAGATTGTTATTATAAAACTAGATATAAAAATCTACTACTGAAGAAAGCGCCACCTAAAGCAAATTCGTTCTACTCACTCGCTAAAGAGATTTGTATATAATTAATTCGAATAAAATTGGCAGTGAAATGTTTCTTAAAATAAATATCGCTAATATTTTGTTCCTAACTTATGTCGTCTACCAGTTTGATTGAGAGTGAAATGAGCACCAAAATTGATTTCGATGTAAGCATATCAAACGAAACTAGTAGACCATTGGCTTAGTCAGGATTGATTCGCTTCCACCCGACGCCAACCCTAGAGAAATCTTTCAAAGGTTACCAATCACATTTACCTAAAAGAAATCACCGATCTTCCTATACACCAGATGTCGAGCCGGTCTCGTCAGGCCCTCGTAGCTCACTTGGGGTTTCAGATAATAAGACGTCGGGGTTCGGAGACTGACCCCGGATATCTGCGGCCGCTTTCTGATCTGGTACTGCGACAGTTCTGACGCCGCGTACTGCGGCTCCGCTGGTAGGCTATTCCTAAATCTACTGAACGTATAATCTCTATTCGTAGGAACGATGAATCCGCTCGGTACCCTTATATTCGGAGCTAGCGCCTCGTTGTATCTCTCGTCGTATTCATTCTCCACGGAATCCGCTAGGTTCTGCTTGATCGAAACCTCCGGGATTCTCAAGGGCTTACCGGTCGCCGTATACGGCTTCGATATTTCCGGTTGCGGTTCCACTTTCGGTTTCTCCGGCTGGGGGTAGTACGGCTTCAAGTACGCTCCGGGTTTCAATGTGGATTCTAGTTGCTCTTTTATTGCCTCGTAGTTGTCGTTGAACGTTCTCAACACTTTTGACGCTAAATCTTTCACTTTGTTTTCTGGTGTCGTCGTCGGTGGTTCAATTCTAAGCTGGGTCGTTGTGGGTGGGTCGGTTTTGAATTCTGTTGTAGTCGGTTTTGACTCTTTCTTGTTGTTCTCATATTCAATATCTTCTTCGTCGTAATACTCGTATTCCTCCTCTATTGCGGGGGATGTCGGTTGTTCTGTAGCTAAAGTTGTGGTGAGATGAGTTGTTGTTATAGGGATTGTCGTTGTCGGTTTAGGTGTAGTAGTAGTAGTAGTAGTCGTGGTAGTGGTAGTAGTGGTAGTTGTAGAAGAAGTGGAAGTAGGTTTAGGGGTGGTGCTTGGTGGTGAGTTTAAGTTCTTTCCACCTACCGGCTGTAATCCTCGCGGTAGGTAGGGACTTCCACCCCTAGACGGTAAAAAAGGACGTTTAACCACTTTCACATTAGTTTTTACATCTCTCACTTTTTCAGCTATTTCATCTTTGGTCCTATCGTTTGTCCTTTCCTTCTCCTCATCGTAATAATAATCATCGTCTTTTCCTTTTGATTTGTCATTTCCTCTTTGTGAGTATGTGTACTTAGCTGCTTTTGTTGGAGGTTCATAATAATATTCTTCGTCATCATAGTCAATAGGCCGTTTTGTCTTTTTTTTAAGGCTACCTGGTCCCGTCGGTCGGGGTTTGAACTTTTCTCTTTCAAGTGGCTCTGGTTTCGGGCGCTGTTGCACTGTGCTAGTTTTAGCAGACGGCATTGGCCTGCTGACGTCGTCTTCTTCATAGTCATCGTAATATTCATCTTCCAATTTGGGTGGGGCTTTTGTTGTGGATATTGTAACATATTCGTATTTATCTTTTTCATTTAATGGAACCGGCCGTTTTATTTTCGGTGGCATTCTCGGCTGACTAAATATACCGTGTCCATTTGGTTTGACTAGAGGTGTTTCAGGAGCGGTTGGCGGCGGCCTCTTTTCTTCTTGTCGGTCATCGGTGTCATAATTTCTCTCTGGTTTTGAAGATGGCCTGTCTTCCTTGCCTCTGTATGGTCTGTCATAAAGTCTGCGTCCTTCGTTTGAAGGTTTATCTCTAATTTTATCACGACTTTCATCTACAGGGCGTCGGTCATCCTTTGGCCTCTTTTCATCCCTAGATCTAAACTCCTCTCTGGGTCTTATTTCATCTCTAGAATTAGTATCTTTTGGTCTACTTTCCTCTCGTGGTCTTATTTCATCACGAGGTTTTATTTCATCTCTTCCTCTATTTTCGCCACGTGGCCTTATTTCATCTCTCGGTCTTATTTCATCTCTAGAGTCCATCTCATCCCTTATGTCATCATCCCTATTTCTATTTAATTTGTCATCTCTAACTTCATCCCTGGGCCTGAATTCGTCTCTTGGGCGTTTGGGTCTCCCGCCCCTCGATCTTTCCTCGTCGTCAGATCTGTATCGATCATCTTCTTTATCTCTGGGTTTTAGCGGACGTCGCCCACTTTTATATGGTCTTCGTTCATCATCATCATAAGGCCTTCTGTAGTCGGGCCTTTTCCCTCTCGGTCTTTCATATGGTCTTCGATCGTCGTAATCGTCTTCGATCTCATCGCGGGGTCTCGATCGAGTTTCATATCTGTTAAAGTGGAACAAAATAAGTTTTTAAATACGTTATTTAGAGAGAACTAATAACTTTTCTTGTTCCTGTAGTAGCACATGTTTAAGTACCTGTCATCGTAGTCATCATGAGGTCGCCTTTTGCCTGGTCGCCCGGGCCTTGGTCTCGTCCGTCTTCCACCTCTGCAATATCAACATAGCTTATAATAGAATAACGTAAAAATAATGTACATAATCAATACTAGAATATTAGAAAAAATACATTCTACTTTCAAGGCAATATACTTTTGTGTGAATGAGTTTATTATATTTCGTTTCAAAATAATGTTTTTCTAGAGTAGGTCAATTAAGTATTTTATAAGTATTTTAAAAGGTCAGCTAGTGAAAACTGCAGTAAGGTCTTGTTGTCTGTTTCTCTGCTATTGGAGAACAATCGATATTTTATACAATTTAAAAATCGATTATAATTTAAAAAAAACACCTATTCGACCCGGGCAGGACCGGACATCACTGAGTCCTGATCTGAATTGGTTAGAGCAACAAAATCGGACGCCGTAGATGCCGAGTCGGTTAAACGTATTGCCTAGCATTGCGTTCAGCGCGAGAGGTCCTGGGTTCGAATCCCAGAGAAACAAAAAATTGATTCGGTCAGGCTCAACTCTTGCCTGTAAAAGAACAGATCAGTGGAACGGACACAGAATGTTCGCCCGTCACAGAAATGTGACGAGGGGGAACCGGGATTTCACACATATGTATTTAGCTCGTTCGTTAGTTTCGGTTTGAGCTTACCTTTCTTCATAGTCGTATTCATCTCTATCCCTAGAGTAATAGTACTCATCATCATCATAATAGTCATATCGATGATGGGGCCTCCTCCGCGGTGGTCGAGGAGGACGCACTGTGGTGGTTGTGGTAGTTGTTGTGGTGGGGGGAGGTGGTGGCGGTTCGGTGGAAGCGGCTTTGTACAGAGCTTCATTTCTGAAAAAAAAATTGTAAGTGTTAGGTATGGAAGACACGACGTAAGCAATAAATTAATGTTCGCTATTATTAATTTATCAATATCCTTCACATTCGTAATTAAGACTATTTACGCAATAAGAAGAGTTACAGTAGGTAAAACACCCTACTATAAGCTTAGCTGCAATGATAGCTATCATCATAAATTTATGATGATAAATAAATAAATCATATTTATGACTAGCTGTGCCAAAAGTTTTTGGGCAAATTCCGTTTTTGCAAACGACTTCATCTTTATAAACTGAAGCTGTTACTCAAGACGTCGGTCGCGTCCCTTCCCGTCGTTCTTGCAAAGTAATCTTAAAAGATAGATATATAGCATCACGGCCTTTTTTTTAGATTATTTAAAGGGAAATAATTCTTTTATTCCTTTTTTTTATATTTTCAACCGTTTTTGCACCGTACTGCTCGGAAATCCATGATAAAAAAATTTCCCAATTTTTTCACATTACTCCCTGTATCTTTGTTTGTATTAGTCACAGGATGATGTTTTATAGCCTATAGCTATTTAATAATAATTTTTCAATTCGAACCCGTAGTTCCTGAGATTAGCCCGTTCAAACAAACAAACAAACAAATATTAAAGATACTACTTACTTTAAAGGTTTGATGATAAGGTTTATGGGTTTGACATTTGTTGTCAATATTTTGAATAAATAATGTTTACCTATTAAAATATTTCGGTGAATTTTTGCAATCTACTTCCGATACGAAATGGCAGATAAACGTCTTCTGGTCAAATGCTGTGTAGTTGGCGCAGAGGAAGTCGTACCTCGTACCGAATAAGCAGTGGTGGTAGACCTGGAATAGAGCTTCGTAAGTCGTAGTTTGTAATGTGAGTGTTAAAATGATCAGGAATTTAAAATCGTAAACAAGTCATCATTCCTGTGCATATATGTGTGCCGAAAAGAAACTTTGATGTATATTGTAAACTATGTGGTTTTAAATCTTTTAAACAAAGCATTAACGGTTCATAACGCGAAATATTACTTTATTTATTTACAAATTGTGTTAACTACGGCCCGACGTTTTGGATCGAAAATCAACTGAGCTAGCGCCATCTGTTTCCTCGTAGCTGGTTTCTCGTGGTTCTACTACGAAGAAACAAATGGCGTTAGCGTGGCGGATTATGACTTTGATTTTTGGGACCATAATCAGGTCCTCCCATGATCATGGCTGCTGCAAAGCATCAGAAACGTTGGCCGTTGTTAACGTAAAATTAGAAATAAGTTAACTGATATATTTTGTGTTTGAAACTGTTAAAAGTGTTTTATTTAAATGCATTCTACTTATGTACAACATTACTTACAAACTTAAATTACTTGACCCTCTACATTAAGCACTTTATTTTTATGTATGGTTTTAACTAACCTGACATTTGTGAGGTACAGACGCATAGAAGCCATCGTGTAGACCGTCACACTTGAAGTCCATAGTCTCCGGAGGGGGTACAGTCTCATAGAAGGGGTATTCCGATAGATTGTATCCATTTAATTCCCTGGGAAGATTTGGGTCGTAGATGTAGTCTATTTGAGGAATACCGGATAGTTTGGATGTTGTATTGCTTTCAGCTTCCTCAGCCGTCGTTTCCAACTGAAATATTAACCAAAAAATTTTATTAATATACCTGAATTCAATTTAATAACAGAAATATTCAAGATGTTTAATGCAAACGAAAAAAGGCTTCGTTGGACGTTAGTGGAACCCCGTTCCTCCGTTGGGGCCCATGTTCGCCTTATGGACACATTTCCGTGTTTCACTCATCGGTTTTATTTACAGGCAAAAATAGTTGATTAAACTTCTGTGCCCCGCTATCTATCTATTGTTTTCCTGGGTTCCGCTAACTAGGACTAGGACCTCTCGCGTTCAACTCAATGCTAGACAACACGTTCGACCATTTAGCTTCAGTGGTCTTTGTTGGACGTCACCTAAGTGCTATTTTGCAAGAGTAATAAACAACAAAGGTAGGTATTTTTGTATGTGTTCGAGTCTCATTCTTGACCAAAACTAGTCCATTGAAATAAGCAATTGATTTGTGAGTATAATGAAAGCCTCCATCCCCGGCTAATGAGGCCGAAGGTTCCAGGAAGTGAGGCAAGTGGAACAGGAAGCGATTCTAGAACATTCCCGCTGAGGTGATCCACTTTTCGCTTCCTTCATTCGTACGACCTTGACCGGGTTGATTTCTTTTTATATATAACGGTTACATTTCACGTCCTAACGTTAAGTAACGACTCCCGTAAGAATGGGACATTTTAAGACGGGCTGAATTAACTAACTTGGTTTAATGGGAACAATATATAGCTAATAAGGGTTGGATCACCACAGGGTCTAGATTAATAGCGTTTCGGTTTGGTCTGTGGAAAAAAATCTTCGGAAAATCGAAAGCCAAAATACGTCGACATCGTATCTTGTTTAGATTTGTAAGGCAGGTATTTTACCCATTGCCAATAATGCTTCTGTCGTCCTTCTTGATGAAATACATAAATAATGTATGGCGAAAACACAAGTAAAAACATTCAAGTTTTAAAATGCTGTGAGTAATAATGCGCCGGCAATTAACCAAGTAATTAGTTAACCAACTACTTCGTGCTGCTAACCAATATTATAATATCACATATATTAACTGAATACTATTTTTTTCACACTATAAATCACAACCAAACTATAAATTTTGACTACCATAGATTTTTATCGTTAGAGATTTTGTAATTTTTGGGTTGATTTTCGTATACACCCTTAAAAACTACCCTCTTCTCGTCACTCAGTTAATGATGAATTAACTACTAGTTATCTCTTAACGTATTTTAGTTCTATTTGGTAATTTACCTGCGCTTCATCATCAGGCCCCGAGACTTCTTCTTCTGGTGCAGCAGTTGTGGTGGTGGTTTTCGCGAATATGAGGGATGTGGCTCTCACAGCCGATGTGCTGGGCAGTCTCGATAAGGCTGCAACGGCTACACCTAAAATTTGTTTTTAATTTGAATCATTCATCTGTTGTGACTTTTCACAGGTTCCTTGGTCCAAAATTGTCTGCGATATAGGCTGAAAGATCTTGATTTTAAACAGATTTTGATTAGATTTTGTTTAACCACGAATTATTTTTAACCACGGCCTGACTTTTTGGATGCTTTGCAGCAGCCGTGGTCACGGGGAGACATGAGATTCGGTTTCAGTTAATGTCGACAGCACATCTTCTTCAGTTTTAAATGGTTGGCCTATATCACCTTCTATCAAGTGGATCCCGTACTTTTCAATTATAAAAAGATGATGTATACGTACGTACGACATAAGGTCTATTTCCAATATACTCACAAAATATAGAGATTGCCAGCCATCTATGACGAGATCGTTTCATTGTTGTACCTGTAACAGATGAAAACATTGTATTATTATTACAGTTACGATGTGAAAGTTATGTGTTTCTCAAAAATGTTGAAATGTTTGTAGTATTAAAATACAAGTATAAATAAGATCAGAAAAACCCTAAGGGATATCATACTCTTGTGTTGAAGCTTAACGCAATGCAGCAGGTTTTAAATGCAAAGCCTATTTAAAAAGGATTGCCTAGAGATAATTTGAGTGAGGCGCATGCAAAGCTCGGATATGTAAATGCGAAAGCACTCCTGCGCAATATAATGACCACACCCCGCGGTCAAGCTGGCATTTCAACGCGTATTTCTGTAGGGAATTTTAAATGCATTCATTTAAGAACAAAGAATGGAAGACGTTTACCTTGCCGTGGTTATTTATTGTGGAAACGAAGATATGAATAGTGAATATAATACGCTGAGAGTTCAAAATATACAAGACATAATATTCTTTATGTATCTACTTCTATATATAATAATGTTACGTGTAGGTATTTTATAATTGTAGTAGAAATAAATAACACTACTTGTTCAGAATAAAATAATATAAGTCGCGGGTAGTTTAGTTTTTTTCGATACGACGCCCGAACGAGGTCATCGCGCGCTATCAGACGCTTTTAGGTAAGGCTGAACCGGATGTAATCGGTACTGAGTAACGGGTCCGCTATAAATTTACACCGCACACAATTTCGTTACTCGCATTTGGTAGAGGTCATAGTAGTTCCTCGAAATAAGATAAGTATTATAGTATAAGAGAGCATTGTTTATTACTTGTATTATTACTATTTACATTATTAAGATCGAAACAAGTTGGAATAAAGAAAATTATGAAAACAATACTACTTTCAATAATTGAGTTGCGAGAGCTCTTAAGCAAAGATCTAATTATAAATCGGCAACTTTTTCGTGTCTTAAACTACGGAAAAGTAAATGAAAAAAGTAAATTTACTTTACATTTTGCATGATCGTTTACTCATATTATATAATGAAACAGTATGACTTTAGAAAATAAAAGTATAATAATAGAATGAGGTATTAGAAGTAACGGGTATTAATTGTAATAGTAACGAACATATACGGGTACTCGTTTTTCGTTACTTTTACACCACTACTTTGATGACGTACGAGCGAGCTGTTTGTTCACAGTTTTTACTAATATGTGATTGGCAATTTAGTAATCTTTTATTCGTAAAAAAGATTAACTAGAGAGACTGCTGGTTTGTTGTAATAGTTTACGCGAGTGCAGTGCATTTTTAAAGTGATTATTATTCGTAAAATCATCGTATCTACCACGTAGCGACTCTTCTTCGCGGTCTCATGATTCCTAATTACGATACAGACTGACACGCTACAATAATAGTGTACATAGGTCTGGACTTCGCTTCTGGACCGGAGGTATGTATTTAGATTTTAGAGTGTTGAACGTAGTTGGCCATTTGCTCATCAAAGCTATGTATCGACATTTTAGCCATTTTTAGTCTTAATAATTGTTTTTTTAATTACTGATAAGGTTTGTGATAACTTAAATTGTCAATTTAATGAAGTAGCCAGGCTGAACCGTGCACCATGTTATTTATTCGACGAATCACTTGCTAAGAATTACTCTTGATTATTTACACTTGTTAGAGAAATAAGAATAAGCGGGCAAGATGTTATCCCATCCTCGTTCCCCATACTTATTACTAAATCGTGGCAGGAGGTAAAGAAGTAGATTTTTGGTAGCACTTTTAAATTGAGTGCGTTGCGTAGTGTTACGGATTCGCTCGTATATTGTGACATATCCATTTAGTTTTTTGATGCACGTCAATTCTTCAGCACCCAAACAGAGCGCGGTTAATATTAAAATCAATGAGAAATGTCCCAGACATTTAGAAACACGATTCTAGATAGAAAATCTATTGTTAACTTTATAAATAGATCATAACAAATAGAATCATACAATGATTATCTCTCTATAGCAATATGCTCGTAGATCGCTATTGTTACTTTCTTTTTGTAATCGTAAATTACAGGTGGTATATACATTTCGTAATTATGATTGACTTTCGCAGAAAATTCAGATTTAAAGATTTTTTGGGGGCTCTCTATTGGGGACTCTGATTGAAAGTGAATGGTTCACATTTACCATTTCACTAATTTTCCCATACCCCTTTGTGGAGGATACAAATAGAACAATTTTGACTTCCATAATTGTTCTCCATTAAGTGTATTCTGTCAAACATATAGACATAAACTAACAAAACAGAAATTCAATTTTACATCGTTGCAAACACATTTTTGTATCCGTTTTAGCGATCTATTTATTTGCGGATTAGTTCATCAGACGGTCACTTTCATCGTTTTGCCCGGAATGAACTTCGGGACTTTAGGACCTCTCTTGCTTAACGCAACACAACGATTGTCTATTGAACTACGGAGGCAGGTCATAAACACACTATCCTACATATTGTAGGTAAGTTTATTTTTAACTATAACGATATACCCATTGTCTACTCGTATAAATGCAGGGTTTTAATTGTAATAGAGCTTCAATCGGGAAATGTTTCTGGGGTACCCTTGAGGTGCATCGTGATCTGAAAGAAGGATGAGCTAACGAATCACGATTTTGTTTTGGTTCTAATGAAATATAATGTATTAATTTTATTGATCATACCTCATCTCTGTCTTAATTCAGCCACGATTGTCATGTTTAAGTCATAGCATTGGTTCACGTAATTTAGGGAACTCTTACCACTATATTGGAATATAGAGAAAGACAGAGTAGACAGTATAAAAACACTAAATCTATATTGTTTAAGGATAATACAGTTTTATTTTTCATTTTTTACAATATTTTTACCCAGCTAGATTTAATTATTCTGGCAGTAGGACCTATATGGACCTCGAGAATACATTTATTTCTATTCATTATAACAAAGTATGTTTTTATTATTTATGTATATACTTTGTATTAAATATCACAATTAAAAACAAAATGGTTATAAAGTGTTTCAATAAAACATTATTGCCTGTAAAACTTAACTTCGTGCTAAGTACGGTAAGGCGTTACCAAATACCTACTACAACGAATCAGATGGCGCTAGCGGTCTAAGTCCCCTCGTGACCACGGCTGCTTCAAAACAATTGAAAACGTCGGGCCGTTGTTAAAATAAGTTGTAAATAAGGTAATATATTTCGCGTTTCAAGCCGTTAAAGGTGTTTACTTGATTGTGTACTACTTGCGTAAACTACAGACCGTAAGCCATAGGCCGAATGCACATAGGTATTAAATTCCGGGACATTTGCGATTAGAGCAACGGAAAAGCCCCCCAATTTATCCTCTATTATAACCAAAGGCCATTAGAAGGTTGGGATTCAAAGATGGCGTGCACAACAATACAAGTAAAAGTTACAAAGCAAGGACGGCGCAAGGTGAACGACCTAGTACCTACGTTTCCTATGTTTATATGCGCGGAATTGCACTTGGAAAGGTTCGAGTCCCGGGGGAAAGAGAGAAAAGGCAAGATATATCATATATTTACATTTGCTCACGTATATATAGCTCAGTTGAGATTCTCATCGGGACCAAAGCTGAATGTTAAATGTCTGGGTGGTAGAAATTAAGGTAATCGCGATTCGATAGTAGTGTCTAGATTTTTTAATGTTTTAAACGAAAATAGGTCTTTAGCCCATATTTCACCTTCCATTAAGTGCACCTAATTTTTGTCTGTCCTCTATCATAAACAATAAATTACAAGCAATCGATTTGTCAGCGCAATATCGTATGTAACAAGTAGATAACAGAAAAACTCTATTAGAGCCGTCTAACGATATTTTAATGATAAGATTACATAATATCCGCGTATTAACTCGCATCATTAAACATTATTAGATGAATGACTTCTGGCGTGACGTCGTCTTGATCTTTCAATGATTTCTTTATTATTGCCATTTTTGTAAAGTGGAAAACGTACATGAATTTTTATTGTTAGCATTAGTGTGGTAATCATTATTTTTTTCAACTCTTCTAGGAACGACTTAACGTGCGTAGGATTCGCAATTAGTTTTTGTGTCCTAAACGAAGAATAAATTTTGTCCGTAATCAAAATAGAGGCGTCGGTCGTATATATCGATAAAGATACTGATTGTTTTTACTGATAGTACTTCCAGGCATGCGCAAATTGGTCATGTTATGTCTTAAACGATGAAGGGGGATCTAAAACAGACCACTCAATAGGTTTTATTCGTGATCACGATAGCGAAGTCGGTCAATTTAGTAATTTAAATATTTAGTTTAACTTTGCAGGTTCGTTTAGACTAGAATTTTGCAAAATATTAATCGAATTAAACTTCTAACGCATAACTAATATGGCAGTCATTATTACTTCTATGTTATGGTAAAATAACAAATTGTATAACAAGTTTTTACGAGTTTTATTTCCTACACTACGCATTGTGCAGGTGTATCTAAAAATTTTAACAAGCGGTCGGGTCAATTGTAAGTAAAAAAAAAAATTCCAACAAGTTAACTAAAATATTTTCCGCTTTAAACCGTTAAAACAGTTTTCTTTGTTGTGCACAGGTCGGGGAACTACAAACTCCCTAAATTTATTCCTTAAATTCAAAGCTTGCGTTAGCCGAGTCTTTTCGTCTTTCGCTTAACAGTCGGTGTTAGGTCGAGTCTCCATTACACAGAATGGAGTTAATGTCATTAATTATGTAAAAATGATGTGATTATAAAAACTGAGAGTAAAGTCTCGAAGACACGCATTCGTTCCGCTCGGCTGAGCACTTTCACTGTCTTTGTTAGACTTCGTTATCCTGAGATTGATAACCTCGCGCTGGGTGCAGTGGGTTCGAGTATCGCGCACGCAAAGTAGAGAAACTCTTTTATATACAACGATGCGATTTGATTCTATAGTTTTCTGATTGCTATTTATACTTTAATAAAGTGATATCCCGTTTCCCCCTCGTGGGGCATGGGACGAAGACATTTCTGTCTTTGTTT